ATCAAGATGAGTAATAGAAAGCCATGTCAGGCAGACAGTGTGCTTTCCTCTTTTTGTTTGTTTTTAAGCTTTACTTATTTGAAGCATAGAGCAACAGAGAGAAGGGAGAGGCAGATAGCAGGGAGGCAGTGTGTTTATAACTGGAGAAGCAAGCGTCCAGTTCACGTTAGAAAACCATTCTGAACACTGATCTCTGCCTACTTGGAATCAGTTTCCTCCCTGTAACAAATATCCGAGAGAAAAGACAGGAAAGCAGATGCTTTATTCTGACTTACGGTTTTGGAGGCTGATGGTCCCACTGGGTCTGCCATCTCCTGAGGCCAGAGAATTTCAATGAGGAAGCGTATGCAGGACAATCCCTTCAAGAGCCAGGAAGCATGGGATGGCTTTGTGGCCACAGCAGGTTAGGCTACTACCAGCAAATGTAGAATCCCGTATGAGTGTCAGTTCAAGTCCAACTGCTTTGCTTCCAATCCAGTTCCCTGCTAATGCACCACAGAAAACAGCGGATGCCACTGACACCCAGAATCCCAAACATCCTTGAGGGTCAGACAGAGTTCCAGGCTCCTGGTTTCAACCTAGTCCAGTCACAGCTGCTGTTGTGGCCATTTGGCGAATGAAGCAACGAATACCAGATTAAATTTTCTCTGTAACTGTGACTTTCAAATAAATAAACCTAAAGAGAAAGAGAAAGAGAGCTAGAAAACAGAGATACAGAGAGCCAGCTGTTGGGCCTGACTGAAGCTTACATAACCAACCCTCTTGGGAGAACTACCAGTCAAAAGCATGCTCCAAATGACCTGAGGATCTCCTACTGGGCCCATTTCCTAAATGTTATAATTGAATGAAGTCTCCACTCTCCCAATACCACCAACCCATAGCATCAGGTTAAAGTCCTACATGAGTTCAGGAGCTAAGTGTTTTCACAGTTCTAGCAGTCATGGCTTCTGAGTTGGTAAATTTGAAACAAAATGGCAGCTTCTGGAATACCAACATCACACATGGATTATCTGGAAGTAAATCACACCTTCCTGGGCAACACTGGAAGGGACTTCTCTCCTGCCAACCACCATCCTAACAGCAGATGTAATTTCAGAGACAAACGGGAAACTCTTCTGGAGAAGGTGCAGACATTCCTATGAAGGATAACTTCTAGACTTAGATAGCAAGCACCATGAGCAGGTTTGAATAATAATCTTACCAGGACTATTTAGTTTCCAAATTTTTAGGTGCAAAATTGAATTTATATGCTATTACAATCTTATTAGTACAGTAATCTTAGTAAAAGATTTCTGGGTCAGAATAGTCAAACTCTGTCCTTTCTACATGTCTTTAGTGATTACAACCAGTAGTAGGGTGGTAAATGTTTAATGTTTGACTTCTGGGAGAAAAGTCCTTAACTGTAAAGTCTTGCAATGTTTCTTGCACAAATATTCCCATGATGGTGGATTTCAAGCCAAAGTGACATCACTAACAACAGATTCGGAAAGAAATGCATAGTAGCCTCACATTTACAGAATTTCTCTGCAAATTTACTCTATAAATACACAAGGTTAAGCTACCATAAGGAAGCATAATTGTAAGCTTATGACTTCTTTTTTAATAAAGATTGTGGTTAACAAAAAGATCGCACACTTTCTGCACATTTTCCAGCTTCTCCAGAGTCAATAGGAGCTGATCCCAGACTTCCCAAAAGAACTCATGTTAGGTATTTCTAAGCTGTGACTCCCACCACACGCAAGAAAAGAACTGTAGTCCATCCTCAAAGCTGATAGCCTAAGAAAAAGGTTGCAACTGGTCTTGACGGGTCATTCAACTGTATATTCTGATCTTGTTCGCCTCTCCCAAGAGGCAGACACAGATACAGACTGTGTGGGGACAGAAATTTCTGGAAAATTGGCTTATTCATAAGTATTATTCTTCCTCTAGAATGTACTATCTGGTCCACTGTATCCACAACTCTCTCCTCTAACCAATTTTAAGTACACAACCCCTGTGATAATGCCCAGACAAGAAATGTTGTTCTTTTCTTTTTTTGAGCAACAGGGTCTTCCATAGAGAGTAGAAAGAAACTGGAGTTTGTAATGGTCATCCATGATGGTGGTTAATTCTTTTTCTGTTTTAAATCCCTTTAGGAATTTTTAAAACCCTAGCAATTTTTAGGTAGATAAGTTCTTCAGTTTTCATTATAAGTCTTGACAGTTGCAAGAATGCAATTTCTGGCGTGCTATACACTCTGGGACTTTTTTTTAATATAAAAAAAAATCTAACACCCATTTAAACCTATCTCATGTACTGAAACACCAAATCTGTTTAATTTTCACCATCAGATATCTAATAAATGCACAAGCCCTTTGTAGTTCTTTCTTGCATGAATTCGTATTTCTATTCCTTTACATTTTATCTAATGAAATAGTTTGGCTTGAAAGCATATTACTGATCTGGACCCGGTGCAATAGCCTAGTTGCTAAATCCTTGCCTTGCATGCACTGGAATTCAATATGAATGCCAATTTGTGTTCTGGCTACTCCACTTCCCTTCCAGCTCCCTGCTTGTAGCCTGGGAAAACAGTAGAGGACGACACAAAGCCTTGGGACCCTGCGCTCATATGGGAGGCCCAGAAGCTCCTGGTTCTTGGCTTCCGGTCAGCTCAGCTACAGGCACTGTGGCAACTGTACAAGTATTGTGGCCACTGTGAACCAGCAGACAGAAGATCTTTCTGTCTCTCCTTCTCTCTGTAATTCTGATTTACAATAAAAGTGATAAATAAAATCTTAGAAAAGTATATTCAAGATCTATCTATATTATCCTATAAAACATATATAATAATAATAGTAATAATACACATAATAATATATGCATATATAAGAAGATACTTTTAAAATTTATTATGGAAATATGGAATTAACAGATAACCTTAACTTGGTGACAAAATTGCAAATCTATGCAGGACTCAAAGTCTTCAAAATTAATGAAAATGGACATTATAAAAGAACTGTTCATATACTACAAATAGTACCAGAACAATCTTATCCTTTAATTTTATCTTTGTATATATATACATACATGTACATGTAAATATATACAATATATTATTATTACAACTTACTGTGTTTGTAAGGCTCGAGGTGACCTTTTGCCCTGGACTGAGTTATTCTTACAATTATTAAATTGAAAAAGTGAAAAACCAGCTCTTGTAAAAGTCCAGATCACTGCACTGCAAACTCCCCCAGAGTGACAGCTGCCTTCTCACCGACGCCAGCTCAGCCCCACTGCCCTTCCTCGGCTCCCCCTGCTCGTCGCTAGGTTGTCCCAGCTTCCTGACAGGATGCAATCTAACTCGTCCTGCTCGCCTTAGCTCTCCTTCAAATCTCCTTGCACAAGCCCAAATCATATAATCAACACCCTCTTACCAAGATGTACCGTGATTTTATTGCTGTGTGCTCTCCTCTGCTGATGCAAGTTAAACAAATCTATGTGACTTCATGGCCCCTCTTGGCAGCCTTTGGTTTGAACAACACTACACACGTGACCAACAGAGCACAAATACGTCCAAAAAATTAACAAAACAATGTGTGTTGGAAATTCAAAGCCACATTTAGTTCATGCATTAATAGCCAATCACTTATTGCTAAAAAGATGTACTGCTAGAAATGTGTGCTTTCTCAATGTCTGACAATTCTTATAAGTTCTGAATTACATGCAAAAATTCCACTACTCCACCAAAACAAAAGTCATATCAAATGGTTAGCTGGAAGATAGATTTGGTCCTTCCGATTGTGTTCAAAGACACGGGAAAGTGATCTGCAAGAAGCCTGTTATGAAGACATCCACTTTGTTATGCTGAAAACAGAACACTGCTGAGGTTTCCACAAGCGGGGGGGGGGGTGTACTCCTTTACAAAAAGCCTATGTTGGCACAGGTCAGCATATACACAGAGTTTCTGAGCAGGACTAACTTTAGAATACAGGGACCACGGTTTGGTAAATCAAAGTAACTGCTTGGGGTGCCCAAGTTTCATTTTGGAGTGCCTTACTTTGAGGCCTGGATCGGCTTCTGACCCCAGCTTCCCGTAATATCCTCTGTAATGGGCAGGGGGTGACAGCTCCAGTCCTCAGATCCCTACCACCCACATGGGACACTGGACGGAATTCAGCCGCCTGGTTTTGTCAACCTAGCTGAGCCCTGACTGTTGCAAACAAGCATTTGGGCAGTGAGATAAGTTTAAAAAAAAAAAATTAAACTATCCATATAGTAGCTGACAGTCTAGAAATTTAATCTCATCTGTAAAAATTTTGGAAAGTCTTTTTGAACTCTAAAGCAGGGACAGTAATGTTGCTGTTGAGCGCGTGAGCAAACCCAACAAGAGGAGTTATTCAATACGCTGTTCGCATATAAAAACGGAGAGACATCCAAATAACAGTACATCTTGACAAGGGGATCAGCCCCTCCAAGTTCATAGTGGAGGCTTCCTCCCGTCAGCAGACATTAATGACCAGAGCCCAGGCTGACCCAGTTGTCCTTCTTTATGCACCTTTCTAAATAACACCCTTTCCTGGATACTTCTTTTATAGGGCAAAGCATTTAACCAGATTCCCTCGAAGTCCTGCCTCTTGAGGTTAACCGTCTGATGTTTTGCTTACCCGTGCGCTTATCATTTGTACGCAAACTTTATAGTTCATCCTTCAAGAGGCATCACCCCAGCACCACACACGTGCGCCGTGCACGCAAGTGTCCCGTCCAGGTACACAATACAGAGCCCTGGGCCCACTTCACAGATGCGGCAGGGCGTAACTGCTGCTCTCCCTGCGATTCGGCCGCGGGAAGCTCCTGGCAACCTTTCCCCTCCACAGATTCCCGCCAAGAACACTAGAGGGCCTGAGAGGCGACGCACGCATGCGCAGGACGAAGCCGGAGGCGCCGGGCGCGCGGGTCGGGCGCGTGCACGCAGGCCCGGCGCGCGCACGCAGCGGCGGGGGCGAAGGTGGCTGGAGCGCGCGCCCTGCACTCACTGGGCGCTCCGAGGCTCGGCCATGGCGCACAAGCCGAAAAGGACTTTCCGGCAGCGCCGAGCTGACGACAGCGACAGCGACGGCGCCGAGGAGCCGCCTGTGGGGCTCGGGACGCTCAAGGAACGGGGCCAGCCCACTGGAGGGGAGCGTGCGGAGGCGGAGGAAGGGCCCCGCCGAGCCCCGGGCCCTCGCGGCAGGGGTCGGGGCCCGGTGTGGGCGAGCTCCCGGCGCGCCGCACGAGGGGCTGCCGCCCCGGACCGAGGCTCGGGCGCCCCAGGTGACGCGGGTGCGCTGGGGCTTCCTGCAAGTTTCCCTGACAAGCTGCTGAGCCAGCCGTGCGGGGTCGCGGGCCGGGTGGGCTGCCCGCGTGTGCAAGCCGGGCACCTCGCGGAAGCCGTAGCTCTAACCACTTGCATGACAGTGGGGTGGTTGTTGCTTATGAAGAATCTAAATGGTCACAGAGGGGTTCAGGTCACAACTTTTGTGTACCTTCTCAACTTGCCCAGTTCACTTTTCTGTAAATAATCACTTGATCAGAGATGTGCGCGGGAAAAATCTAAATAGGTTTTGGTGCTTTCTTGTGTGCTTGTTTTGTTTTAATCTGTAATGTACAGAAACTAAAATAATTGGGCAACAATAAATAGATTATAAATGTGAGACAGTACTAGCAAGTAGTACAGTAGAATCATTGTCAAATCTCTTTGATTTTTAAAATACAGGCAAAGACATTAGACAATAGGTTGTTGCACCTGGCGCTCATGCATTTTCTTACACAAATTGAAAAAAATTACTACTAGGGCCACATGAGAGCTGAACTGGCAAATCCTCTGTCTTGTGCCTGCATCCCGTGTGAGTGCCGATTTGTGTCCTGGCTGCTAGGCTTCCCATCCAGGCCCTTGCTTATGGCAATCCCCCTGTGGTCACAAACAATGGAGCGGGGCTGCTCTGAAGCCCAATGCTGCTTATAGACCCTGCTCATGCTTACGGGGCCCAAAAACTGGGCATTTTCCACTGCTTTCGCAGGTACTTTAGCAGGGAGCTGGATCTGAGTTGGAGCAGTCAGGACTCAAGCTGGTACCCCTATGGCACTGCTGCACGTGGTAACTTTACTTACTTACCACAGATCTAGTCTCATGCAGTCTTTTTTTTAAGATTTATTTATTTCTATTGGAAAGTCAGATTTACAGAGAGCAGAGACAAAGAAAGAGCTTCCATCGTCTGGTTCACTCACCAAGTGGCCACAATGGCCAGAGCTGAGCCAATCCGAAGCCGGGAGCCAAGAGTTTCTTCCTGGTCTCCCAACAGGTACAGGTCCCACACTTTGGACCATCGTCTCCTGCTTTGCCAGGCCACAAGCAGGAAGCTGAAAGGGAAGTGGACTAGCTGGAACACAAACTGGTGTCCATATGGAATCCCAGGAATGCAAGGTGCAGACTAGCCACTAAGCTATCACACTGGGCCTTTCCTCATTCTGTCTTAGAAGTTTTGATTTGGTTCAGACATTTTTGAGCTGTATATAGATATAAATTAAGGTAAAAGTTTAAGGTAAACGGATTCTGTGGTCATATTTTAAGGTTTCTGTTTTTTCATGAAGATTGGAATATTATTGTGAATTAAGGATTACTTTCCATCAGATAACATCATTTTCGGTGTTGTCTCTTGGTGTTGCTTAGTGGATTAGTTGAGTATAGCCTATGATGTCACCTCCCTAAATCACAGACTGAAGATGTAGCCCTATGCTTCAGTTTTGACCAAAGTGTTTATTGCAATATTTCTTGCCACCAGCCATTAAACATGGTATAATATAAAGAAAGCCTAAATTCTGGAATTGGCTAGAATTAGGGTGAAAACCCTGCTTCTCCATTTACTTTCTGTTTTTGTCCTCTCCAGCCTTAATTTCTTCATCACTAATAATGTTTACTTTATACATTTATGATGACTAAATGAAGTAAATCTTGTAGCATAGGTTTCAGTGACCCTAACACATCGTAAGCGTACATTATTTTTTTTCCTTTTCTATTCTATTCACTACCATTGTTTTTCTTTTCAAAATACCATTTCAATTCCTAGGCCTTTATTTTTTCACTAATGTTCCCTTACCTCTTCTCATTGCGTCCTTTGCAAATTTTTTATTAGATATGTAGATGACACAAATAGGTTAAGTCTTTGTGTATATATTAGATCAGAAAATTCAAGAGTTAAAGATTTGTATGTCGTCTTTTTAGAATCCAGAGTGATTGATCTTTCATCAGATGAAGAGGGTACGAGCCATGACTCCTCAGAAAGCCAGGGTAACCAGAGTCCATCATCTGACACCTCTAGCCCTCTGGCAGAAAGACCTTTGCCAGCAGGTTGGTAGCATTTGCAATCTGGTAAGAACTTTGTAATTCTTAATTCTCTGTGTATACAAGATGTGTGCTGCTGGAATCTAGAGTGGCTGATATTTTCCCAGGGGAAGAGGCTGCAACTCCCTTCTCCTCAGGAAGCAAAGGTGATGAGACTCCATCTTCTGAAAGCTCTAGTTCTCTGGAAGAAAAAACATTTTCATCAGCAGGTTGGTGGTTTTAAGAATTTTTCTTAAAATTCTCTATTTTGGGCCCGGCACGATAGTGTAGTGGTTAAGGTCCTCACCTTGTACACGCTGGAATCCCATATGGTCGCCGGTTCTAATCCTAGTGGCCCTGCTTCCCATCCAGTTCCCTACTTGTAGCCTGGGAAAGCAGTCGAGGACAGCCTAAAGCCTGGGGACTCTGCACCTGCGGGGAGACCCGGAAGAAGCTCCTGGCTTCAGATTGGCTCAGCTCCAGCCGTTGCGGTCACTTGGGGAGTGAACCATTGGACGGAAGATCTTCTTCTCTGTCTCTCCTCCTCTGTACATCTGCCTTTCTAATAAAAATAAATAAATCTTTAAAAATAATAATAAAATAAAATTCTTATTTCTACTAGCAATATTTTCTATACCAAGGATTCTTACTGTTGATAACAACAGAATATAGTGTAGTGTGGTGATTGTCAAATTTTCAAGACTGACTCATTTCTGTTACCTAGCAAGCTGGAGGTCAGATTGCTTACAAGGAGACTGGGATAATGAAGACTGGGATAAGGAAATTAAATAGAACTCTAGGATGGACGTTCAGCCCAGTACTGGAGACGTCAAAGCCCCTGGGTTCGGATGTGGGCTCTGGCTCTGGGCTCCTGCTTCCTGCCAGTACAAATCCTGGGAGGCAGCAGTGAGGCCACAGCAGTGGGGGACCAGCCACCACCGTGGGAGGCCCAGGCTGAGCTTCCATCCCCAGCGTCAGCCCTGGAGCTGAGCCCTGGCTGGTAGTGGGCCAGTGCATAGGCACTCCCTTTCTGTGTATCTGTGCTCTCAAAGAATTAAAAGTTTGGGTTTTTTTGTTTGTTTGTTTGTAATAAAATAGCTGTTTCTAAAAATGTTTATTTGGGAACTTAACAAAAAGAAAGCAGGAGAGACATATTGGAAGCCTATAGGGCATGGGAATCACCTAAAAAAATTTTTTAAGGATTTGTTTTTATTAGAAAGACAGATATACAGAGAGGAGGACAGAGCTCATTTTCCATCTGATGATTCATTCCCCAAGTGGCTGCAACAGCTCGAGCTGAGCCAATCCAAAGCCAGGAACTTTTTTCGGGTCTCCCATGCGGGTGCCGGGTCCCAAGGCTTTGGGCCATCCTTGACTGCTTTCTCAGGCCACAAGCATGGAGGGAGCTGGATGGGAAGCCGGTCCACTGGGATTAGAACCGGCGCCCATATGGGATCCCAACGCATGCGAGGCAGTGACCTTAGCCGCTATGCTATCGCACTGGGCCCAAAATTTTATACTAGTAGATGTTGACCATTTTTGTTCAGGGCTTGGAACAAATCTGACCTACAGATTTTTTAATGAATTTTTTTAATCAAGTTTTAGTAAAGCACAGTCATTGTGTTTGAGTTACTCATCTGCACACTGTGATTGATTGCACACTAAAGTGGCAAAGAGGAAGCTGTGACCCAGATCTTTTGGGCTGACGTGAGAGTTGGCAGCTTGTTTTGTGCTGTGGATTTCTTTACAGTACAGTGAAGCTAAAGCCTCTTCTAAGAAAATGCAAGGTTCCCTAATGGGAATAAATTATATTGGAATTATGATTGTCAAAATATACTTTAAGGGACTTGAGTATAATTGTAAATGCTTCTTTATAATCCTTTATTACAAATACCTACATCAAAGTGATGCCTTTTTTAAAGTGGGAAGAAAATTTATTTCTGTTGGTATTTGGTTTTCAGCATCTTCCTGTTTGTTTTCTTCAGTTAAGATGCCTGATGCAGCTGTCATTCAGGCAGCCCGCAGAAAACGGGAATTGGCCAGGGCCCGAGATGACTACATTTCATTAAATGTGAAACAAAGTTCCACCCTCTCTGGTCTGAAGGGAGGCAGCGATGAGGACAGCGAAAGTGAGCCTGATGGTCCAGAGGCAAGAATACCATTTACCGCGAAGCCCCAGACACTTCGGCAGAGAATGGCTGAAGAGACAAGTGTGTATTGATCTTATATCCTAATATTTGAAGAGTAGATCACTTTTCATCAGGATATAACATTTCTGAATGTTGATTTTTGTTTAATATAAATTTGGTCTCAGACATTGTGGTCTCTAAAGTACATCTGCATGTGTAATACTGATTGCTAACGTGTAATTCTCACGTGATGTTTTTGACAGGTTAAAAAATTGTACAGTGTGTTGTTTTTAAAACTATCATTATGACACAACTATAAACATTTTTATTAACATGAAAACATAAAGATTCTTTAGGTGTTGTTCATTAAAGTCTATCCTGTGATAAAACAGCTTCTATCAGTAAGTGATGAAGGATTATTTCCGCATTTGTCATTTAAAACATACATGCCAAGGTTTTTATTAAATCAAGTAATACTTTTTTAATTATTTTTATTTTGCTTATTGTAAGGCATATACCCTGGGGAAAGACAGAAAGATCTCCTATCCACTAGCTCACTCCCCAAGTGGCCACAATAGCCAGAGCTGAGCCGATCCATAGCCAGGAGCCTCTTCCAGGTCTCCCACGTGGGCACAGGGTCCCAAGGCTTTAGGCCGTCCTCAAATGCTTTTCCGGGACATAAGCAGGGAGCTGGATAGGAATTGGAGTAGCCGGAATGTGAATTGGCGCCCATATGAGATCCTGTGCATGCAAAGCGAGGATTTCACTACTAGAGCATCGTGCATGACCCCTCAAATAATTTTTGTTTCAAAATGAGACTAATTTCTAATAACCCAGAAATTATTTTAGATGTTTGGATTTTAAGCAAAACCTCAGAGCTCTTTGATGAGGAAAAGAGGGATTTTATTCTTGATAGTTTTTCCCATGAGGCTGTGGTATTTTGACTGGAATAATGGAGTAACAAGGATGCAGTTTACAGAGTTTGTTACTGCATTAAAGTTCCCCAGCTTCCCCGGAGTCCTCATCAAGCTGTGTACCCTCACACCACCTTAATTTCCTTATTTGTAAAATGACAGCAATAATAGTACTTTCTTCCCAGAATTATTGTAATGAATAAGCAACAAGAAAAGTGCTTCTGAGCCTGAATATAGTAAGCCACTCAGAAATGTTAGCTGTGTAGATTGAAAAGGAAAAATATTGAATATTTATCTGTTACTATTTTACCCTAGCAAGCAGACATGAAAGTATAACTGAAGAGAACCAGGAAGATGAAAATCAATATATTTGGGAAGAGCAGCAGATGAGGAGAGCAGTTAAAACTGTGGAGGTAATAACCACTTATGCCATGTATGCTGTTTCTGTGGCTAATGAACAAATTAATACAAATTCAGCCAGTCTCCTTCAACACGGGGCTGGAAATCTGAAATCAAAGCGTTGGCAGGGCTATGCTTTTTGAGTTCTATATTTCAGCCCACTGTACTGATTATATTATGTCCTTTTCCACTAGTTATAAACACTTTCCATTTATGATGACCCTGTCTTTTTTTAGCTTTATAAATATGGACAGTTTACCTTGTATGGAACGCATGTTTAAAAGTAAAATTTAAGCATAAGAAGCCCAAGATGGATTCTGGATCTGCTGTGAGAATGTAAATCCATATGGTGTGTAAAAAAATAAATAAATAAAAGTGGGATATTTGGATCACTGAAAAATGCTGATGATTTAAAGAATTTGAGACCAAAGCCAATAGGAGTATGTAGAGATTTGCTGTTATGATTAGGAACTGAAGGATGCTTAGTCAGAATTGAGGTGAACAATGATGGCATTACATGGAAATTATAAAATGGATAATAAAGCCAGTGAGTTGGCTGAATTTTGTCGTCCACGTGCTTGTGTGTCCTGTGTAAGAGTTCTGCATGACCTTTGAAGTAGGCGTTTAGCCTAGCAGTTAAACTGCAGTTTGAACATTCCTAGCATAGTTGTGATGAGTTATGATTAGCCAAAGAATACTAGTGTGAAACACATCATATTACAATATGGATGTATAGGTGAAAAAGGGATTACCCTACAAGTAACTAAAATCCCAAATAACAGTGGATTAGAGGAAAGTCAGAACTTTGCCTATAGAGCTCCAGCAGACTTCCATTTACTTTTCATGAACTACAATGGAGTTGGAGTTTGATGACTGAATCACAGCTGCATTGTTCATTAATGGCTCTCTATCATGGAAATAAGTATGACTTTAGTTAGACAACTATTTATACCACAGAAAATAATCACCAACAGCACTTTGACCTTGTAGAGTACAGTAGTTTGTAAACACTAATATTAAAAGCCATTGGAACTAGACCTTTTTGAAAAATCAAATTCAGATTACCTCTTACATTTGAATTTAAAGTTCCAGATTTTAAAACTGAGAATTTTAAAAACATTTTATTATGACCATGAAAATTTACAGAGGTATCAGAGTTTTAAGAATAAGGGATCTTGAATTATCCTGTCTCCTTTATGCTATTTTTAAGGTAAATTAAATATTTTCTAAGAAATAAATTTTCATATTTTTAGAGAGGAGGCAAAAAGTTATCCCACAATGGGGAAACTCCAACTGTGAAGAAGTTAAACACTTTGATTTCATTTCCACCAGTAAATTTAGAGATTATAAAGAAGCAGTTAAATGCGAGGTGAGTAGTATTTGTTTTGAAATTTCCATTTATCCTGGGATTTTTAATAGTTAATGAATACACTCTATTTCAGAACAGGTACCTTTTTTGTGCCTTTTTAATCTATGTATTATATGCTTAAACTCTATAGTCTTATTTTTACTTAATATGGTTTAGAAGTATTTTATTGCATGTTAGATAACCCCTGGGTTTTTTTTAATGTTATAGTTATCCATAAAATAACTATAATTTACTTAAGTACTCCCATATTACTCATCATAATTTCTAAAAATTCCCTATCATAGGAAATGCTATAGACAACAAACATTTTATTCTTGTTAGGACTTTTAATAAGTTGGGTTTTTTCCTTAAATTTCCAGAGAAAGTTTGCCATGGCAAAATTAGTGTTTCTGTGGTGTTTGGCAGAGATTGTCTTTCTAAATACCAGCTGTCTTATTTCTGTCAGGGCTAATGCTTATCTCTTAATAAGCAGTGTTAATCTTATATATAATATTTTTTTCTAAAACTAAAGCAAACCCTATCGCAGGTGAGTTTAACTACTTATATTCTGTATTGTACTCATTCCATGGAATGTTCCATAGATTTGTGTACTAGAATATGATTAAATTTTAATTAGTCCATATAGCAGTTTTGATACAAGCATATTACCAAAGCAAGTATTTCTAAAGAATATTTTCTTTGTTTTCAAGATGTATTTTTTCCTAGTACCTGAAAATAAATCTTGAACTATCTTTTTTGTAAATCAACTTCATTGTAACTTTACTCATTATTCACATTGAAATTAAATTTGATTTTGCTTATTTATTTACATGAATAGTTTTATGTGGAAAGGACACCATGTAGAAATTGTTAGTGAAGTGTAGTTATTTCATCTGAAAACTTATTACGTTTAGCCATATTTTACTTACTCTTTATAATTAGTTCATTTAGTTTATAAAGAAAATACATTGTTCTGGTTAAAAAAAAAATAAAAGCACCTTATTCTGGAATATTATTGCTGCTAATTCCTTGTTTCCTTCCAAAAGTGTTCTATATTTGTATGTTTAAAAGTAGAATATCCAAGGAAACTTCAGAAAGTTCATGGAGATTGAAATTAGAAGATAAGTTTATACGGGTGGTATTGTGGTGTTATAGGTTAAACTGCTACCTGCAGCCTACATTCCATATGGGTGCCAATTCAGTTCCCAGCTTTTCCACTTCCTGTCTAGCCTGGAAAAGCAAAAGATGGCTCAAATGCTCAAGGCCACCTGCTCCCCACGTGGGAGACTCACATGTAGCTCCTGGCTCCTGGTTTCAGCTTCCCCACCCCTGACTGTCGCAGCCATTTGGGAAGTGAATCCATGAACGGAAGATTTGTCTGTCTCTCCCTTCTCTCTCTCTCTTTCTCTCTCAGTCTCTATAAATGCCTTTTAAGTAAATGCATCTTTTTTTTTTTAAAGATTTATTTTTATTATTTTTTATTGGAAAGGCGGATGTACAGAGAGGAAGATCTTCCGTCCGATGATTCACTCCCCAAATGAGCGCAACGGCCGATGCTATGCCGATCCGAAGCCAGGAGCCTCTTCCAGGTCTCCCACATGGGTGCAGGGTCCCAAAGCTTTGGGCCGTCCTCGACTGCTTTCCCGGGCCACAGGCAGGGAGCTGGAAGGGAAGCGGGGCTGCTGGGATTAGAACCGGCGCCCATATGGGATCCCGGGCGTGCAAAGCGAGGACCTTTAACCACTTGCGCCACCGCGCCGGGCCCAGTAAATGCATCTTTTTAAAAAATGGGTTTATTTGGTGCAAAACACTTTTAAAACCCTTGGTTAGTTTTTTCATAACACATTTTTCCCTGAACTTTCTGGAGACTATTCATATGGATAGTTGAATTTTTTTAATCATAAATTCATTTTATTTTGATGATGTTTACATAGTTGAAAGGGATGCATGCCCATGTGGACCACCAGTTAGGGTGGGGAGAGGATATAGGGAAGTGCAGTGGAGCAAGAACAGGAAGCAGAGCAATGCACCTCAGAGGACATCTAATTCTAATGACAGATAACACCAAAATGATTATGAAAAAAAGATACATCGAACCAACCCATTCCATGCTCATATGGCTGTAATTCCAGCTCATTTAGATGACTATACTAACAGTGATGCTACATGGACTCCTGTGTTTGGGGTATAATATCATTGAGTGTTCTTACAACTCACCTGCTTTGTAAATTCTCATCAGTCTTGGCTGGAAAACCTAACCACTTAGGCTTTTTCTCTGAAACAGTAGCTGCAGCCTCTGAAAACCTGTGTCTTCCTGTGCCACATGCCCTTCGTTGTGGCCTCCAGCAAGTCTGATAAATCTAAGCTTATCCACTCATCAGTTTCCTTGGTAATCTGTGAAAACATTTGCATTCCGCAGTTACTTTTTAAAAGAATATTTGAAAAATGAAACAAAGCTTTTTTTTTTTACTCATTTAGGTTAACATTACTGCAAGATACTCATCGCTCACACCAGAGGGAATATGAGAAATACTTGCAAGATGTGGAGAGCTCAAAGAGTACAATCCAGAACCTAGAAAGCTCATCAAATCAAAATCTAAATTATAAATTTTATAAAAGCATGAAAATTTATGTGGAAAATTTAATTGGCTGTCTTAATGAAAAGGTATGTGTAAGTAGTTTTATTTTGTTTTCTGGGAGAAACCTCTGACATCAGTTACAAAACAGAATAAAAGGAAAGTTTGAATTTGGCCATTAATTACTTTTCTCTAGTACTCTTCCTTCATATTTTAACATATTCTTACATTAAGCCTTCCGTTAATGTTGACTATTTAGAATTTTTTGCAGGATTTTAATCTGGTAAGTAATAATAAAATCTTGAATGTAAGCTTTTCTTTCCAGATTTCATCTGTTTAAGACAAATTCCTGAAAGATGAAGGGACATCACTGAGTGAAAGGATGTTGCCCAAGAAACAAAAGTTTCAATTAGTCGCACCTTTCTGCATCACAGCTTTGTTACCTGTTTCTGATTAGACCTCTTTCATTCTCTGGCTTTCCAGATTTCAACAGTTTCTTATGGCATCCCTTCTGTATACCCCATGCTGTGGAAACCAGCTTCCCCATATATATAGATAGAGGTTACAATATGTTAGTTGATTTTTTTTAATTGAAAGTATTTGTAGGTCTGTTGTACATAATATTTTTCCTCATGTGATATGCTTAGTATTAGAAATATTTTTATGACAGTTGAGCATATGCATTTATATACATATTTTCTTAGTGTTACCTCTTTATGCATTTTATGACTTATTCGTGACAAGCTGCAAAACGGTACTTATGTATATATTTCAGGTTATCAACATACAAGAAATAGAGTCATCCATGCATGCACTCCTCTTAAAACAAGCCACGACCCTTGTGAAACGCAGGCAAGATGAATTAAAACATGAATCAACGCATTTACAGCAGTTATCATGTTAGTGTTTTTAATGATCAGTATGCTTTATTATTTATTTAATTACCATCTGAGGAATAAAAATCCTTTTATTCCTATATAAAAAATACTTTTTATGATTTTTGCCACTAACCCGTTACCTGTCCCCTTCCAAAGACCTAGAATATTTAACAATAAAAATTACAACTTCTAATTATTTAAGGAAAAATATTTATATGACCATTTCTAAGATTTAGATTATGCTTCTTCGTTCTCACACTGGTTTTGTATATTTTGTCTATTCCTTTGAGTAAAGTGCTCTCAGAGGATAGCAAAAGAGATGAGACCATAACCAAGGCGCTGATAAAACAGACACAAAGTGAATTTCAAACACACAACATTTAATTAGTCACAAATAATGATATACACACACACACATTCATGGTAATGCCTTTATTTTCAATATTTTTGAGAATTTGGAGTGCAAAAATCAATTTTATTCATTAACAGGCAAAGCTGAAACAGATGGAAGCTTGGCTATAGATGAAAAAACTCAGTGGATTTTAGAAGAGATTGAATCTCGAAGGTAGCTATATAAAGTGAAGACTTACCACATCATTGAGCAAGTACTTTTTACTACTTAAATATAAATGACTTTGTGACCTGATCAGCTATAACCCACCAGTAATTTATGAGAATATTGTAAAACCAAAATTTTGTTAGCCATTCAGCTGTTGTAAAGATCCGCTGGTATATCTGAACCAGTTGGAAGGGGTTTGTAAAAGGACATCTCTTCCCTTGGGTTCTCCCCACCTGACTACTGCAGCAGGAGACGCCTTGCTTTGAATAAAGCCTAAAAAAATAAAGTGATGGGTAAAATGACATTTTTCAACCTGAACTGCTCCTAAAGAAAAGGTGACCCTAATTATATTGTCACCCTCTATTGAGACTCTAGGTAGCCTGTGCAAGTGTCCTAACTGGGAATGTCATGTAAGGAAAGACATGTCATTCTCATGTCAACTCAAATCCATGAGAATAAATATGTCAAGAATTAACATAAAATTGTGTGCTGAAGTGATGCTGTGCTTCTGGCCTTTTTAAATGAATGATAACATTTTGTTCTTCATTTTAAACCAGTGGTTTTCAGCAAGAACTATTTGACTTTTCATTTGTTTTTCGTGTATGAAAAAAATATAGGCAAAAGCGAAGACAAACCAGGGCCCTTTCTGGAGAGTCCGGCCATCAGGAGGGGACATCCAGTGACGAGGAGCTGTCCTCTGCGGAGATGAGTGACTTCCAAAACAGGTCAGGTCAGTGACCAGCTCTGTACTAGGCCTTTGTTTGAAATGCTGAGAAACGTTTTGCCCTAAATTATGTAACCTACATAAAAAAACAGGAAAGTTCAGGGAAAATGAAAGATTTTTTTTTTTCCTCCTTGGAGACTTCCTTTTGGTAAGTATTCTTGGAGCTTGATACTAGGATACTTCAAAAATACCATAGAAAAATGGCATTAGAAGATTGAATTTATTACAAAGCAAAAATGATTTTTGGTGTAAAATTTTGTATGTGTGAGAAGTATGTTATGAAAATACTGTGCATATATTTGCCAAGCTTGTTGTACCAAAATAAAATCATGCTTTTTATTCTATTTTTCCAAAATCTTGAAGTTTTCCCTCAAGTCTTTCTCCCTAGTCTTTTTTCCTATTGTAAGTGAACATTTTGGTTTTATTTCTTTGCCTCGTATTTCTATAATTTTTAATTCAGGGAACCTGGACTCAAGGAAGTGATGTTTAGCATTATGAACTGGCATGGTGATGTACAGTTGAAAGAGTCTGCACACTGGAGTTGAAGTAGACTTAGGTTCAAAGAGGGCTCTCTTCCTTTGATCATGAGCAGATTCCGTCACCTCACTAAATCTAATGTTTTGGTTTTTTCTGCAGTTCAGTTATGCCTTACTGGAAGATAATTAAGGTATTGAAATGAGATAATGAATTTGTAATATTTTAACATAATAGCAAAGACTCAGGAAATGGTAGATTTTATTGGTGTGTTTTTACTTTTACCAAATTGACTTTTTAGTAATTGGAAATGTGTGTGTTAATGTCAAAGGAAAGGTTTCAGATCTGTTGGTTATATCATCACATGACTGTAAGGAAGCATACTTAAAGTTCATAAACTTGAGATTCATAATCTAAAGAGACTTGTTTTTTATTTACAGATGACATTATAAAGGATCATAAGAAAGTTTTTGAAGATGTGCATGATGATTTTTGTAACATCCAGAGCATTTTATTGAGATTTCAACAATGGCGAGAAAAGTTTCCTGATTCCTATTATGAAGCATATATTACTTTATGCATACCAAAGCTTTTAAATCCGCTAATAAGGGCCCAGTTAATCAGCTGGAATCCTCTTAAGGTATGCCTAACATGAGAAGAAATCTCCTGCTAGATTAAATTGCCTTGTTGACAGATTAGCTGTAAAACAACTTAAAGTTGGAGCTAAAACATAGAGCTTTGGGATACTAGTAGTACAGGAGTATGCATTTAAGCTATATTCATTTGTTCTTGGTTCTCATGTAATTTTTAAGACTGAGAAACATTAGCCATCAGTAATCCAGTTTTTTTTTTAACTTTCTATACTAAGTTTGAAATCCTCCTTCCTCCCAAAAAAATGTTAAAGTAGTATTAAATTTGGGCCACTTAACACAGAAACCTTGGTCCAAGGGTCCTGAAGCTATTTGGAAGACTCAGAAGGGAAAACTACATTGAGAAAGAAAAATTTAAGCAAGATTCTGAAGGGCATACAGGATTTACATGGGAGGAGAGAAAAAGGGGAAGGCTTTTCGTAAAGGTATAAAGGGAAAGGTATTAATTCAAGGGCTAGAGAGTGTGGAGTTCAGACCCTAAATTAAGAAGTAAGGGTTGATTTTTGTAAATAATGGAAGGGGTGACATGTTGAAAGTGACATTCTAGAAGCCCTAGTAGCAAGCTAACTTGGAAAGGAGGAAAATGAGAGATAAAGGCTATTCTGTAGTCTTCACTTGAAAGTGTTGGATTGGACCTGGCACAGTAGCCTAGCGGCTGGAGTCCTCACCTTGCACATGCCTGGATCCCGTATGGGTGCTGGTTCTAGTCCCAGAGGCCCCGCTTCCCATCTAGCTCCCTGCTTATGTTTGGGAAAGCAGTCAAGCAGTCAAGGATGCCCAAAAGCCTTGGGACCCTGCACCCGCGTGGGAGACCTGGAGGAGGCTTCTGGCTGCTTGAGAGGTGAATCAACAGACAGAAAATTAAAAACAAAAAAGAAAAGAAAAGAAACGAAACTGTTGGATTCATGTCGTACTGGTGGAAAAGGAAACAGAAAGGATAGATGACAAGAAGTCTTGAAGTAAGAACTTAAGAGCCCTCAAACTATAAAGATGAACCCTAAGATTTGGTTCTGGAATGTCAGAAGAGTAATGGCGTTAACAAAGATGGAGACTTCAGAAAGAAAAGGACTTAAAGTAAATTCCACTTTGTAGACAGCAAAACAGTAGAGATCCATGTGGATGTACTTTGTGAACTAGCAGGCAAGTGAAGTCCCAGGAAAAGAGAATTAAAGATAAAAATTACAGAGTGAAGGACCAAAGCCGACCTTGTCTGTCTGTGTCAGTCATGCGTGCCTGCTCGTCTAGGTTACATTCAGGATCATACTGCGGTAACTGAGCTTCACCATGGGAGGGCAATAAGTTAGGCATCCACCTTGTTATTCTGAAAAGCTGAGATGGATATTTTGTAGGCCTAGCAGAGATCCTTCAATTCTTTCATTCAAAAAATAAATAAATAACCATCTGCTCCCATTTGCCTAATAAGCTAACCCACACAGAAATTACATATTACGCTTGTAAGAACAGAAAGAACCAAAAATAAGATTTTCTAAGAGTGAATGAGTTTTTACAGATTCTGTGTTTTTTTTCATGTGCCCAGCAAAGATATATTTTACGCCTACCATAGTGTGCCATTTGGGACATAGTAAGCATTTGTTGAGTGTTTGTATGAGTGAATGGATAAAATGCAGCAGTTTGTTAGATTAACAGATACCGTATTGTAAGTCATACTGCCTTGCCTAATGGCTAGTGATGCATATATAGTGTTAAAGAATTATTGCCCTTTGAAATTCAGAAAGGTTCTGTTTATTAAAAAATTTAACTATTTTAAAATTAACTAACATTTAGGAATTCATTTCTAACTTGTATAATTTTGTGTTTAAGTTGGATTCCATAGGTTTAAAACAGATGCCATGGTTCATATCGGTAGAAGAATTTGTGGACAACAGTGTGGAAAACTTAAATAAGGACAATTCTGACAAAAAAATCTTCTCTGCTATCATCAACAAAACAGTTATTCCACGGCTGAAAGGTACTGTTCTCTAATCTTGCTCTGATTAAATTGCTTTTTTGGCAGAATATAAGATTGTTCATGTTTGTGGCAGGTATGTTTTTTTTTCTAGAAATTTTTGCACACAAACAAATGTTATGCAGTAAAGATAACAGATATTGGGTAGACCTTTGCCACGTGGGGCATCTGTATTCCAGATCAAGGTTCCTAGGTTTATATTCCAGATTCCTGCTACTGCATACCTTGGGTGACAGCAAGTGAAAGCTAAGGACTCAAGTCTTTGCCATTACTGTTGGAGGTGCAGACTGAGATCTGGGCTCCTGGCTTCCCCCGCTCCAGCTCAGTCCTCACTGAGTCATTTGGAGAATGAACCATTGGATGAAAGACCTCTGTCTCTCTTTTGTTTCCCTTTCAACTAAAATGAAGTTTAATAAATGCTGATTTTAAGCTGGTTAAAAAAATTTTTAAGCTGTTTTGGTCAAGTGGTTGATTGCCGACCCACTGGTACTCTGAGCAGTTAACATTTCTGATATTTCAGTTGCTTTGGGGACACCTGAATCATCTGTTAAGGGTTTGCTTGTATCTGTACTGTATGTACCTTTTTCTTTCCCCTTACTTCTCCCATGAATGTTTCTCTTTTCTTTCCATTTAAAAAAATTTGCTGAGCTGAACCAATCGGTAACTAGGAGTCTCCTCCAAGTCTCCCACGTGCGTGCAGGGTTTCATGGCTTTGGGCCATCCTCCACTGCTTTCCTAGACCACAAGCAGAGAGCTGGATGGGAGGTGGAGCAGCCGAGACATGAACCGATGCCCACATGGGATGTGGGTGCTTTACAGGGGGAGGATTGGCCCACTGGACCTGACTAGGTTGCTTTAGAGACTGAATTCTCGTGGGGGTGGGGAGAAGGTGGATGTTTTGGCACAGGTAACACACATTCCCGAATCAGGGTACCTAGGTTTGAGTCTACCTAAGCTTCCAGTCTAGCTTCCTATTTTGTGTATCTTGTGAGGCAGTATATAATGGCTTAAATGCATTGGTCCTACCACAATGTAGGAGAACCAGATGGTGCTCTTGGTTCCTGCTTCAGTCTGACCCAGCCCCAGCTGTTAACAGACATTTGAGAAGTGAGCCAGCAGGGGGAAGGTCTCTATTTCTATTGTCCCTTTTTTCTCTCTGCCTTTCAAATAGATAAAACATTTGTAGTGACTGAATTCTATATGTATTTCCAAATTAACTGTAACAGTATTTGCTAATAGATTGGTTATGAGGCAAGAGAAGGAATCAGGAGTGTTTGGATTGTTCTGGGCCTGAGCAGCTGGAAGGCCAGAGTTGCCGTTTCCTGAAATGGAAAAGGCTTAGAGGATTAAATTTCCAGTGGAGAAAGTCCATCAGGAGCTCTGTTTGGGATTTCACTGAATTTGAGACCTTGTTATCTGAGAGGTAATATGAAAGATAGTTGGATATATGAATCCTAAAAGAGATGTTGAGGCAGAAGGTATGAATTTAGAATTTTATTAGCATGTCTGTGATTCTTATAGCCACAGAAGTGATTTTAAACACTACAAGAGTGCGTGTAAATAAGAAAGGAAAGGTATGTAACCAGAGATCCGAAGATTCTCCAGCACTTTGGTTCAGGAAGCAAAGAGGCGGCAGGTACCAAAGCAGACAGCAGGAAAACTGGGAGTCTGGCACCCAAGAGACAAGTGAAAGAAATTTTCTAGGAGGGGGCTGGTGCAGTGATGTTCCAGGCTAATCCTCCACCCACACTGCCAGCATCCCTATGGGCACTGGATCGTTTCCTGGCTGTCCCATCTCTAATCTGGCTTCCTGCTTGTAACCTGGGAATGCAGCAGATAGCCCAAGTGCTTAGACCTCTTTCCCCATGTCAGACCCGGAGAAGTACCCTAGCTGCTAATTTCAGATCAGCTTAGCTCTGGTCTTTGTGGCCATTTGGGGAATAAAACAGTAATGAGAGATCTCAGTTTCTTATCTGTAATTCTCCCTTTCAATTAGAAATAATTTTTGAAAAATATTTTTTAAGCTTTCGAAGAAAGTGATGAAGTCTTGCAGTTGTCAGCAATAAAATATGTGAAGTCTTATGTACTTGGAGTTTGCTAGAGGATTGTTACCTATGAACTAATTTAAATAGTTTATGTAGAGTGGTGAGTGAAATGCCTAATTAGAGGGAAATCAAGAATAAATGGGAAGAGGAAAGTTTGAGATAGAAGTTTCAGGAATTTTATTTCAGAGATAGTAGTTGCAGATATTTTACTATATAAGAAAAAAGAGAAGGGCCCAGATCAATGGCATAATTGGCCAACCCTCCCTTTGCAAATGCCAGGATCCCATAGGGTTGCCAGTTTGTGTCCCAGCTGCTCCACCTCCCTTTTTGCTGCCTGCTTTAGGGCTTGGCAGCAGAGAATGGCCCAGATTTTTGGACCCCTGTATCTACATGGGAGACCTGAAAGAGTTACTAGAAGCATAAGTATGGTTAAAAGGAGATTTAATTTTAGTGCCAGAGAAACAACTGTTGTAGGATGATGGGAAAGATTCATTGTGAAAGGATAGGACAGAATTCCAAGAGTGGAATCTCAGGTAAGCAAAAGGGTTGAGATCATGGGCACAAATCAAGGGTTGGCTTCGCTGGGAGAAATGGATGTCTCGTCCATTGCAATAGAGGACAAGTTAGAGCACCTGGGCACGGATGCAGGTATGTGGGTACTGCAGTAGGAGCTGTGGAACTTCAGGTTACTTTTTTTCCCCCATCAAATTAGAAAGTAATTATGTTGGAGGGAACAAAGGAGAAAGTAAAGTCCATCTACTAAGACTAGTGAAGAGGAAGAAGAATGTATTGAATGGCCATCTAGACAAGAAGGGTAATCAGACAAGAGAAAGAATATGTGATTGCTGTGGAGCATTAAGGATTTCCTTGAATTTTACGGTGATACATTAATTGTGACTTTTTTCAAGCCACATACTCTCTGCATGCTTGCAGGCAGATTTGGTGACAAGAATAGCTAGGATTATGGGTTAGTCAGATGAATTCAGCAAAGCCCAAGAAAGACAAGAAGTGGAATTTGTGTGTAAATACATGATGCCCATGACTGATGTGGGTTTTAAACCAGGGAAGGAAGTCTTTGCCAGAGCTCTCACTCTTTGTCAAAGCAGTAAGTTGTACATCACTGAAATATGTGTTTCAGACTTTATCGAATTCATCTGGGATCCTTTGTCAACCACTCAGACAAGAAGTTTAGTAAGGCACTGCAGCATGATTTCTGAAGAACTTTCTACTTGTGAAAATGAAGTTAATACAGGCAAACCGGTAATGTTGTTCACTACAACTTCTCTGATTTATAAATATTTTTGTTATAAACCATTGTAGAAGATGGAGATATATTATCAGGAAACTGAGGGGAAACATGTCTGGCTCTGATTTATAGAACCGGAGGATTGAATACAATTTTGTACTTCTAAGAGATCTAACAGGAATGTAATCACTATAGGCATGCACTATAAGATCCGGATGATTGCTTCCCTCCTCACTAGAGTATTTCTCTGAATGATCGGATTTCTGTTCTTGTGACCCAAGAAGCTCTCGGGTTTGTGAATATGAACTGGCCATTAATGTGTTGGTGCAATCTTATTCCTTTTAAAAGAAAAATAAAACTTCTTGGTCCTTTTTCAAAAAAGTCTAGCTGAATTGTTGACTTTATCCAATAGTGATTTCTAAATCGGGTAACATTCATGATGTTAGCTACTTGTTTTCAATCTGCCAAAATTAAGACTAATAGTCTCTTCATTTAGATCAGTTAATTCTTTGCTGCCCAGCTCCTTGCTTGTTGCCAGGAAAACCAGTAGAGGACGGCTCAAGGCCTTGAGACCCAGAACCCATGTGGGAGACCTGGGGGAGGCTTCTGGCTTCAGATCATCGTAGCTCCAGCCATTATGGAGGACCAGTTGGGGAACCAGCTGATGGAAGATCTTTCTGTCTGTCCGTCTCTCTGTAAATCTGCCTTTCCATAAAAATAGATAAATCTTTATAAAATAGTTTTTAAGATGCAGCTAAGATACTGTTTACAGAACATTTAATATCTGCATTTTTATTAACTTATAATGAATATACATATTAATGGGTACATATTCAGTGCATATACACAATGCACAATAATCAGTTTAGAGTAATTAGCATATCCATCACCTCAAATGTTTATCATTTGTGTGAGAAACAATGTGAATCCTCTTCATAAGCTATTTTGAGATATTTACTTTTTTGCAGTCACTTTGTTGTGCTTTAGAACATTGGAAGTTGTTCCTTCCATCTGACTGCACTCTTGTACCTGTGAGCCATCCTTCATCCATTCTCTGTACTCTCCTCTTTCTAACCTCTATTCTACCTTCTATTTTCATGAAGTCAGCACATTAGTGGGAATATGTTGTGATTGTCTTTCTGCATCTGACTTCACTTAACACAGTATCCTTGAGGCACATCCATGTTGCTGCAGATGGCAGGACTATGTTCTTTCTTTAGCTGAGTAATATTCTATTGTTCATAAGGCATCATATATTCTTTATTCTTTCACCCATCTGTGGAATACCTAGGTTGATTCCAAACCATGGCTATGATGAATAGTGCTGCAATAAACATAGGAGTACAGGTATTTCTTCAGCCTCCTGATTTCCTTTCCTAAGGATGTGTGCATGCAGTGGAATTGCTGAAACAGATGGTAGTTCTGTTTTTAGTTTTAGGAGGAAACTCTCTGCTGTTTTCCACAAGGGCAGTACTGACTTATATCTCACCAACAGTTTACAGTAATTCCCCTCTCTGTGTCCTTGCCAGCATGCGTTTTTACTGTTTCCATTGCTAGCCATTCTGTGCTGAGACAATTTATATTCATGGTGATTTTGAACTCCCACTTCCTGTAGTTGAGTGAGCATTCTTACATGTATTTGTTGACCATTTGTATATCTTTAGAGATATGAGAGATATGCCATTCAGATAGCTTACCCACTTTTAAAATATTATTTGGAAGATGGAGTTAGGAAATAAATGATCTTCAATCTGCTGGTTCACGGCCATAGCTGGCCACTGTGGTTGGCCATGACCCAGGCCAAAGCCAAAGAGCCTGGTATTTTACTTGGTTTCCCAAATTGGTGCCAGAAACCCAAGCACATGTGCCATCTTCCACTGCTTTCCCTAGTGCATTGGAAGGGAGCTAGATTGGAATTGGCACAGCCAAGACTCCAACCAGTGCTCATATGGGGTGCCAGCTTTGCCTATTTTTTTTTCTTTCTTTCTTTCTGCTGTGTTGAGTTCTTTATACATTCTGGGTACTAATTCTGTCATGAATAGCTTGCAAATATTTTTCTCCAGTTCTGTAGGTTATATTTTTACACTTTTGGCTGTTTCTCTTGCTGTGCAAAAAGCCTTTAGTTTCATAATCCCATTTATCAATTTTTGCTTTGTTTGCATTGCTTTGGGGGCATCATATCCCAAAGAAATATTTATCTAAATCAGTGTTTAATTTCTCGTTAGTTTTAGATTTCACATTTAAGGCACTGATCCATTTTGAGTTGATTAGGTCTAGTTTCATTTTTTTTGAATACAGATATTCAGTGTAGCCAGCATTACTTATTAGAGAGGCTGTCCATTCTCTATTGTATGTTCTTGTTTCCTTTATTTAAAATTGGTTGTTTGGAGGGCATATGTATTTATTTTCTGTGTTCTCGATTCTGTTAATTGGTCAGTGTGTCTTTTTAATCTAGTACCAGGCTGTTTTAGTTATTACAACTTTGTAGTATGTTTTAAAGTCAGGTAATACTCTGGCAATTTGAGGTATTCTGTGGTTCAGTAGGCATTTTATGATTGTTTTCTCTTTTTCTCTGAATAATGTCATTGGTATTTTGACAGGGCTGGCTTTGAATCTGTTTTTGAGTAATATGGACAGCCAAAAATATTAGTTCTTCAAATCCATAACCATGAGATGATTTTATGCTTTTTAGTTAACTCTTCAATTTCTTTCATCAGTGTTACAGTTTTTGTTGCCAAATTATTTCACCTCTCTCCTGCAGTTTTAATAGATGTTGTAAATGGGATTGCATTGTTAATTTCTTATTCCATCTTATATGTTACTGGATGTACTGAAATGTTAATGGTTTTTGGAAGCTGATCTTGTATCCTGCATTTTTTAACTGATTGTATTTATCATTTTTAATAATCTTTATGTATATATTTTGCGGAAATTTTAGTTTTGTAAATGAACAATCATATGTGCAAACAGGGACAGTTTGACATCCTCCTTTCCAGAGTGGTTGCAGTCGGACTGACATTCGGACACAGTGCGTTAATCTGCTTCCTGCAGTACCTGTGTCCTATAGGAGTAGCAGTTCAGGTCCTAGCTGCTCCATTTCTAATCCAGCTTCCTGCTGTTGTTCCTGGCAAAACAGCGTATGGTCGCCACTCATTTGACAGATCCAAATGATATTCTGAATTCCTGGTGCCAGCCTGGCCCACCCAGCCATTAGAGCCCACTGCAACCAGTATTTCTCTTTCCCTTTCAGAGTACATAACTTTGCCATTAAAATAAATAAATGTGTGTGTTTTTCAAATGCATGCGCTTGTTTCCTTCTTGCTTAATGCTGTGGGTAGCACTTCCAAAGATACTGATTGAGCAGCCAGGAGCCTGTGGTTTAATTACTTTCATACTTCCTCTTGCTGATTTCTAGGTTTTTTCCCATTGTAATCAGAGAAAATACAGCATTTTAATTATTTAAGTTCAATTTTACGGTTAAAATTATGTTTTTTTGATAGCTTCGTTTCCACTTATACTAACACTAATGATGTTCTTCAATTTTTTGTAAATAGGATTTATTTAAAACTATCATTTTAAGAATGAAGAAGGCAATAGAAGATGATGTTTTTATTCCTCTGTATCCAAAGAGGTAAGAGCTGCTAGGTGTACATTGCTTGAGACAATGAATCACTTAATATAGATTTGCTTCAAAAGTGTAATTCAAAGAAGCTGTAATGAGTGTTTTCAAAATATGTGTATATACATTTGTTAAGATACAAACAGATTATGGCAAATACTGCCCAATCATGTGCTACACAAGGGGGATTCAAAAAACTAGTGAAATATTCACATTATTTTTTAATTCTCGTTTTCCATAAACTTGTTTTGGAGATCCCTCATGTGCTTAGCACTTGGACATATCGTTTGTTTCTTTTTCTTGTTGATACAATAATGTGCATTTAAAAATACAATTAAGGTATAAACTCTTAGTCATTTCTAGTTTTTTACAACACATATTTTCCATGAACTTATAGACCATACATGCGTGGATTTCTTTCTTTTTTTCTTTTTTCCCAAAATGAACAATTTCCTTTTTCTTCCATTCAGAAATTTTTATTTATCTGAAAAACAGAGTTTCCAATTTCTGGTTCACTTGGCAAATGCCTATAACAGCTGAGACTGAAACCAGGAACTTCTTGCCTGGGTGGCGCGAACCCCATAGCTTGAGGTGCCTCCCAAGGGGTGCTTTACCTGGGAGCTGAAATTGAGAGCTTGAACCAGCAGTTAAACACAGATACCACTGTATAGGATGGGATGTGGTTGGCTGGCTTTTGTTTGTTTGTTTGTTTGTTTAATTTTATTTTTTATGATTTTTACATAGTTGATTAGGGTGCGAAGAGTCAAAGGCTAGAGGAAAGTGGGTGAGACCATTGTTCTCTTTTTTCGGTCCTGTATCTGGGGAAAGGGGAAGATAAGGGGAAAAGCCACACTCAGCCTCCCACCCATCCCAGGGTCCCCGATGTGGGGCATGCGCTGAAGGACCTGTTCAAGTGATTTTGATAGTTCAGCAGTTCTGAATTGCTATCGATCCCACCACTCCAGTCATGATGAAATCTCTCCAGAATCCACTAGCTGACATAGTCCACCTTAGAGTCTCTGTTTGCCTAGATATTCACTGCCAACGCTTTGCTGGGGTAATTGATCAATTTCTTCTGTCCTCTGCTATGGTATCAAGTGTCCTCTGCAGTCTCCAATATACTGCCATATCCTCATGTGCATCTGGGTATGCTGTCTACTGTTCTGCCTAAACCATTGAAGAGACCCAGCTCTAATACATACACTCCACAGTCAGACCATGGAACCCGCAATTCTGTCCATGGTTGCATCTGTCATTGGTAAAATTAGTGCCTAGCTCACAGGACTTCAGGAGTCATAGGATAAGGCCTAGAACATGACAAAGGAGCCAAAACCTGCATCTGTGAATTCTCTGTTCAGTTTAAATCATGAACCAAGTAGAGGGGATTGTCAGTGAGTTCACAGAAATTGTATATTATGAAAATACTGTGCATGGATTTAAGAAAATATTGCACCAAAACAAATATATGTTTTTAATACCATTTTGCCAAAGACTTCAGAAATTTTTTATTATTTAAATGTATTATCTTTTATTTTGTCTGTTACACAGCCTGGGCAGGGTTCAGTCAGGCTGGTAGCTGGACACTCAGTGCATGTCTCCCACAGGAATGGCAGGGACTCACTGCTGTTTCTCAAGGTTCACATTAGCAGGAAATTGGAATCCAAAGCAGAACTGGGACTTGAAGTCAGCCATACCTGTGTGGGATGTAGGCATTTTAACCAATGTCTCAACAGCTAAAGCAACACCCTCCTCCTCCAAAAGTTTTCAAGTACCCATGTGTTCAGTTCATTGCATAGTCATACGTTTGCCAAGAAAGCATCAGTTGGCAACCATTCATGAAAGGCTATTAGCCATCAATAAACAGAAGATGAAAAAGCTTTGTGGGAGGAGGGAAAAAGGAACCCCTGAGCTTTCTGTTTCAACTCATGAGGAGATGTCTGCGTATAAACATTTTTGCCCGGTAAATTTGTTTTATGTTTCAGTTAAATGTTACAGTCCTAAGATTCAGAGTTGTATTTGTTCCCGTCCGTAACCTGCAATCATGCAGTTGGTATTTTTCTGTCTGTAAATGGATAGAAAACCAGTAGTAATGACTGGTATTAATTTTATCTTTGCAGAATTCTTTTTCACAGATACAGCTAAATACTTACACATGCTGTGATCTGACTACCCCTACCTTTTCAGAACAGAGAATGTATATTGTAGGGGCCGTTGTTTGTCCCATCAGTCAAGATGTCTTCATCCCACATAGGGATGTATGGGTTCTGTACCCAGCTCTGCCTCCTGACTCCAGCTGACTTCCATCGCAGAACCTGTGATGTAGAATGTGGTGGTTCGGTTGGGTCCCGCTTACCCATGTGGAAGACTGAGACTGAGTTTTTAGCTCCTAGCTTGAGCCAGGTAGATTCTAGGCCATTGCAGACCTTTAGGAAGTAGAAGTGAACCACCGAAGAGAAGCTCTCACATACTCACTCACATACTGTTTCTCACACTATCTGTATAATTTTTAAAAATGAATAAAACTTGGAGAAAGTTCCAACTAGTTCTGGGCCTTCCTTTACTCTTTAAGAATCTTTGCATGTTATCATCTAAAGTAGTTTCCTCTTTCTTTTATAAGCTGGGTAGTAACTGCGCAGGCACTGAGAGCATGTTAAGTGGCAGGCTGTCGCCAACAGCCTAGTAAAGTTTTATGGACAGATCATTCCTCATATGTGCATATGGTGAAGAAACTGCTGGGACAGAATGTCTTCATCTTCATACATATCATCTACATACCCCTCATCTCCATTTATATTCCCTTAAAATTTAGTTTGGTCGGCTTAAAAAAATCTGTTTGGTAATCTCTGATTCTAAAAGAATAACAGTTATTTGTATTTTTTAACCCTTGTTTTTTTTGTTTCAAATTAGTGCTGTAGAAAACAAAATGTCACCACATTCAAAGTTTCAAGAAAGACAGTTCTGGTCAAGTCTAAAGGTAAGAAGAAAATGACAAAAAAAATCAGAACACAGATTGTCATGTAATTTGTTTAAAGATACAGTTTATTATAGAAAAGAAAATAGGCTTCTCTAAGGACCAAACTGTATTTTAGGTTTGGTGGCATATATATTCTCAAGAGCCATTTGAGGAGGCAACCAGCAGAGGGCAGCACAGGCTCTCCCTCACTTGTTCTCTTATTCTCACTCTCTTCATTTCAAACAACTTTTTAAGAAATAAGATGAATTAACATTTGCCATTTGGTAAGGGAAAAGACTCAAAGGAGCAATCTTAGCAAGAGCATAATGTGTGAAAAAATATAACAGACTAGCAAACTGCATATAGTCCAGCACTCGGCAATTGTACCTCAAGAAGTTAAGGGAAAATGCATATTCTAAAAAAAAGCCACGTGTGGATTTTTCATTTTTTGAACCAAAATGAAAAGAATAACTTTTTGAGATACCTTACGTAATATTAGGAAGAAAGTGACATAGACTATCAAAGTCACAGAAAAATGTGGATTTAGAGTAGGGAACAATAACCAATTTTTGACTTACTAGAATATGTTTTAAATATTTAGGTATTTTTATACTTACAGGTGACTGTTAGCCTTATTGTAGATATGAGGCCGTTAGCATTGCACATTGACTTCTCAAAGACACACAGTTGTGACAGTGGCACTGGCTTTCCAAGCTGTCTTTTATGAATCCTAAAGTTCTGATAGTAATTGTTAGCCCAAGCTCCACTAGAGAATGGATTGAAGAGGAACATTTTTTGACTGGGAAGGCTCTAATATATGTCAAGACAGATTTGGAATATTATTCTAGGAAATGGAATAGGATGAGCAAATTCATGGAGGTTGGAAAGATTTAAGCATTTGTTCAGAGATGTTTTCTGTTCCAAAATTGACGGCTCTAATAAGCTACTGGGGTAAGAGTTTAAGAATTTGACCATCTTTTTATGTTTGTCAGAAACTTAAAATTTCATGTCAGAGGAAAAAAATGCATATACCTGTGTTATCTTCCAGCTCTTCCGCAACATTCTTCTTTGGAATGGACTCCTCCAGGATGACACCCTTCAAGAACTAGGTCTAGGGAAGCTGCTGAACCGCTACCTTATGATAGCTCTTTTTAATGCTGTTCCTGGACCAGAGGTTGTTAAGAAATGCATCCAGGTAAGCTGTCTAGGACTGATGATGATTTTATCATTTTTAGAAATTCACCTATTAAAGGCTAGTTTGTTCAGCCAAGAGCAGTCAGTTCGGCAGTTTAGAAGTTTGTACCCTGGCTTCCAGTGCCACTAATAAAGGAGTGAAAACCACTACTTAGTAGAGGACGCTAGGACAGCTGGCCTGTTTACTAGAATGGTAGATACTCACCTCTCACTGCTTGTATATCCCTATGTAGAATTTACTTGAATTGAAACATGAGTTGTAAAAAGTGAAATTCCGAGTATACTATGATAAATGACTGTATCTGAGAACGAGAGAGGCTTTTAAAAGCTAAAGGTGCAGCAGGTGTTTAGTGTGTTAAGATGATGTGTCCCATGTTGGAGTTCTTGCGTTTGATACCAGGCTTTGGCTCCTGCCTACAGTTGCCTGTTATTGCAGTCTTTGGTAGCAGCAGTTTACGTTCTTGCTGCCCATATAGGAGTCTTAGATTCAGCTCCCATCTCCCACCTTTGGCTCAACAGTCTCAGCCCATTGCAGGTACCCAACAAGTGGTATCACTCTCTCTGTTGTTTTGTTTTGTTTTGTTTTGTTTTGTTTTGTTTTGTTTTGTTTTGTTTTGTTTTGTTTTTAAGGAAAAGGGAAGCCAGGGGTTTCTCCTCTGGGTCTCTCATATGAGTGCAGGTGCCCAAGGTTTTGGGCCATCCTCTGCCTGCTCTCCCATGCCATTTGCAGGGAGCTAGATCAAAAGTAGAGCAACTGAGACATAAACCAGTGCCCATATGGGATGCTGGTGCCACAGTTAGAAAATTAGCATGATATGCCACCATGCTGGCCCCAGTTTTCTGGTTTTTATTTAGAAATGATTCTGTACAGTTAAATGGATTAGAAGCATAAGAATATATAAGAAAATTTAGGTATAATATGCTTTAAGCTCTAAGTATTGAAAGTGAATTTTTAAAATATGTACAACCTTTGACAGTGAGATGAATGTATAAAAACTTTTATAGAACCAAGAACTTTAGAGTAACAGTCAACTTGCAGTATCGATAAAAGGTTATGCTAACAAGAATCCTTAGATCATTATTATAGCAGTATGTTTTAATTAACAGATAGCAGCTTGTCTACCCGAAAAATGGTTTGGAAATTCTGCCATGAGGACATCTATTCCCCAGCTAGAAAATTTCACTAAAGTTTTACTGCAGTCTGCACATAAGTTATCTGCAAGTGAATTCACGTAAGGCCTATTTTATTGTCACTCCCATAATCACTGGTCATGAATTCTTTATGCTGTCAGTAATTTTTAGAGATTTATATTTGTGTTATACTTGAAAAATCTCTTAGAGACTTTGTAGTATATAACATCTTGGTAGATATTTTTTATTTAATTTTTAATTTTAGTTTTGACGATGTTTACATAGTAGATTGGGGTGGGAAGGGTCAGGGGTTAGGGAAAAATTGGTAGATATTTTCATGGTTATTTTTTATTTTATTTTATTTTTAAAGATCTATTTATTTTTATTGGAAAGGCAGATATACAGAGAGGAGGAGAGACAGAGAGGAAGATCTTCTATCCAGTGGTTCACTCCCCAAGTGACCGCAATGGCCAGAGCTGAGCCAATCTGAAGCCAGGAGCCTCTTCCGGGTCTCCCACACGGGTGCAAGGTCCCAAGGCTTTGGGCTGTCCTCGACTGCTTTCCCAGGCCAAGCAGGGAGCGGGATGGGAAGTGGGGCTGCTGGGATTCAAACCGGCGCCCATATGGGATCCTGGCACATGCAAGGCAAGGACTTTAACCTAACTACACTATCGTACCAGGCCCATGGTTATTTTTTAAATGGCTCACTTTTTAGTAGTCTGTATTTTAACTTTATAATTATGTGGGAAAGACAGCATCTGTATTCTATGATATTTGCAATTAAACTTTCACCTTTAGATTAATGCCTAATATACCACAAGTCAAGAATTTACCACTGTGCCCCATATGTTTCATTTTTAAGGAGGAAATGCTGTTTTATTTTGTTTTTCAGGGATGAAATCAAAGAAATTATTCTTATTCTGGTGAAAATAAAAGCTTTGAATCAAGCAGAATTTCTTATAGAAGAGTATCATCTAGACAACTTTAAATCACTAATTGACGTCTGATTAAATCTTATAGGAAAGTCCTAAAGAAGGAGACTTTGAATACAGTCACATTCAATGCTATCACATGAAAAAAACAAAACAAAACAAAAACCAAACCTGGTCCCTCTTTATTCCCTGCACTGAGGCTGGACTCTGCGAGACGGCAGTGGCAGCCCGCACCCCTCTCCGTTCACACTGTCTCCTGGTGTCCTGAGAGGCTGCCCTTCTCGTTCTGTGCTCTTTGAGGAATTAAATGCACAGCCACATAAAAGTTCAACATGTTTACTTTTGATTCCTTTGACTTCCTTACTAATTTAAGAAATGTATTTCAGCCATGTGAACATATTAGTAAGTTGCTCTGAACAACAGAAATATCTGTTACTTTTTAAGCTATTTATGATAAATATTTCTATGTAAAATTAAGCTAATCTGAGACTCTTAATTAGAATGAATTATTAAGTGTTAAGTGGTTACAACATTGTAAGGCCTTTGATAACTAAGGATTGTCAAATTGTCTAACAATTTGTTGTAATCACCGAAATGTGAATTGTGAAGAATGCCAAAGAGCCGCCCCAGGGATAGGTACCATCATTTTGGTAATTCATTGTAAATTTGAGCAGAAAGAAGAATGTATTTTAATTGCTTATTTCATTATGGTTAGTAAACAGTGGCAGTGTGTTGATTTTGGCCATTTGTAATTCATTTTGAAATAACTATTTCTTATTTTTATATTCAAAATATTAACCTTTGCCTTTCCTATTTAGTTTTCTTTACATGCAGCTTTTGTTGATGTACTGTCATAATTTCATATCATAAAGTCATTTTTGTCATTAATGATAGGATTAAAAAGGAAGTATTTTAGAGACACAGAGCATGATTCATTTGCCGATAAATTTTTCTCTGTGAAAGAGGCAAAATAACTGAGTTTAGCGGTGATTTTTTTATCTTTAATAACTCAAGGGCAATGCTAAATATATATTTTGCAAATTCTTGCCCAAAAGATAAATGAATAAAGGGTGAATAAAGGTTTATATATGAAGTTTGAATATTTTCTGTGACCTAAATTTATATCACCCCTACTTTTGAAACTGATATAGTTTAACTGTTGGGTATGTTATTTCCATTGTAATTATTTCTATTGCCTTGTAATGTGCTAGTCTGAAGGATTTTCTAAATATATCGATTACGTTAATTGTATCATAGAATGTTGTCTAGCAGTTTCAACCATTGCTGAAAAGCGCTTAGCGTTCCTACACAGCTACTGTCCTAAAGTAACTGCTGTTAACTTTATCCTTTCAGAACATTTATCTATTTATAAAAATGTGTCTATCTGTGTAGCTATACATAGCTTTGTTTTTTATATAAATGGAGGTAGTTTATTTGAACATGAAATTTGTAATTTTTTCACTATTAAAATATTCATTTAGAAATTATCCTGTGCCTATGGGATTTTTAAAGATAGGTTTAAAATGTTTCAAATTATGCAGCACAACTCCTGTTTTTGTAGAAAGGGAAATATTAGAACTGTTTTCAAAACTGCAAATTGACCAATTTTAAAACTTCTCTAATAGCTTTCATTTCCGTTTCATTATGCCTGCAGTTAGAAAAAGGTTTTGTCTGTCATATAGATATAATTTAAAGAAGCTTTTGAAGTTTATCTAATTCTCAGTTTAATTTTCTTTCTTCCTATTACTGGGAGATGGATAGAAGAAAGGGGAGGAACACAACTAGCAAAGGCAAAATCCTGACCGGCCCACTCCTCTTACAGCATAGTTCCTTCCCTGGATGTTTCTGTTCACGAAAAGAATGACAAATTTTACAGAATCCAGTGGATTACCTGGAATATTTTTTCATAACAGAAAGCCACTTCAAAACAGTTGACTTTCTAGACTGTTTTCAAAATGAACTATATGAATGACTGCTAAAAATACCATATATGATTTAAGTCTGAAAAAGATACTAGACTAATATCCTCATGAAGATAAAAATGGAAATGCTTAAAAATATTAGCAGATTAAATCCAGTCATGGATTTATAAAGATGATAATAATACGCTGTATCCAGATCGGGCTTATTCCAGGAAGGCATAGACTGGAGATTGCTTGTCTTGTAAGACCTTGGTGGCTACCATTGGGGAAGTATGGGGAAAGCCAAAACACGTGGTCACTCCACTGCCATCACTAAACATGTCCCCTTGACATTGTGGATAACCGATTCATTTGGAACAAAATGACTTGCCTTGAATTTTACTTGAATTCTACTTCTTTTAGGAAGCATCATGTTAAATGCAGTGAATTTCAAGCACTCGCCTGTCACCTTCCCAAAAAGCCAGACGTGGTCTGGAAGCATTTTGAAGCTTTGTAAAAGTGCTGCTGTAAACATCTCTGAGTGTTGCCAGTCTCCTCGCCTGGGCCCGTTGCTTACCCCCTGAAATGCTCGTTTGGGCGTGTAAATAAATAGCTGTCTCACAGTGTGATTATGAGCACTGAGACATGCAGTGTCCAGCACACAGCAGCTCTTCTAATGGGGCATGCAGTAGCCCTTCCTAGGAATGTGAAAAACTTCCAACTTTTGAATTCTGTGAGTAGTACAATAGACTCTGGGATTTGTTTTCTAAACTCTCAGTTGCCCCCATAACAATGCTAAAGAGTAATTTGGGGCCCGGCACGATGGCGCAGTGGTTAAGGTCCTCGCCTTGCATGCCCGGGATCCCATATGGGCGCCGGTTCTATCCCGGCAGCCCCGCTTCCCTTCCAGCTCCCTGCCTGTGGCCTGGGAAAGCAGTCGAGGACGGCCCAAAGCTTTGGGAACCTGCACCCGCATGGGAGACCTGGAAGAGGCTCCTGGCTTCGGACTGGCATAGTATCGGCCGTTGCGCTCACTTGGGGAGTGAATCATCGGACGGAAGATCTTCCTCTCTGTCTCTCCTCTCTGTATATCTGCCTTTCCAATAAAAAAAAATAATAATAAAAATAAATCTTTAAAAAAAAGAGTAATTTGAAAGATACACACACTTGAGCTAGAATGGAATTGAGAAAATCAAGCTCTGATCCTCCCACAAACGTTGAAAAAACAAGTAGGAACAGGTAGAGGCAACTTTTTCAGAACTCTGAAAAACAGTGAAAAGCTTATAGCAACCAAATGAGCATTAAATAAAAAAATACAGAGCAACTTTAAGATGGTGGGAAAGCTTGGTGCCATTTTTTGCCTTCCCCTTGTGTGGCAGCAGTCCTAAAGGCAGCACAGATTCCTGGTTCTGGACTCTTGCCCCATTCCCACAGGAAACACTGCTGACCTGATGGGCATTGTATCTGTTCTAACCTGCCTGGAGGCTTGAAGAACTGACACAGAACACTCGTTATACACTCGTTATCTGTCTACACCCAACATGGCAAAAAGCAACCCGCAATACTTCAGAAAGTGTAAGGCGAAGTACCAACCAAGGCAAGATGATTGCCATGGAATCCGGAAAACAACCTAAGTTGTGATGCAGGGGAAAGTAGAAGGGTTAGGGAAATTAGGACTTTCGGTTGTATACATGGAGGAAAGCCATGCATGGATCCTTGGGGTAAGAAACCTGCTGAGAAAAGACTTGCAAAATCTTTTTTAGCTCCTTGCTAGGCTCAGGGTAGGCCTGGCCAAGTGCTCAGGGAACAGCGCAACACAAAGCCAGTCTGCAAAGCCTGGGAGAGACCCCTTTAAGTTGCTTTCCATGAAATCTATAAACACAAGCTAAGAGAAAGACTTTGGTCAACACACACGCACACACATAGGTGCATTGTTTGGAAATGCCAATAAACAGGTAACTGCAGTCATCAATGACAACAGGGGCCAGTGTTTGGCCAAGCAGTTAACATACTACTTGATTCCCTCATGGTCCTGGCCCTCGCCCCAATTCTGATTCCAGCTTCCCAGGAGGCACGTGGTGACGATTCATGTGCTTGTGTCCCTGCCACTCACAGCTGAGTACCAGACTCCTGGCTTTGACCTGTTCTAGTCCCAACTATTTCAGACATATGGGGAGTAAACCAACACCTGAAAAAAACTGTCTAGTTCTGACTGTAACCCTATTTTTCTTTGGCTTTCATGCAAATACAGATTAAAATGATGCAAATAGGGCCTGGCCCAGTGGCTTAAGTCCTCATCTTGCACATGCCAGCATCCCAAATGGGAGCCAGTTCTAATCCCTGAGGCCCTGCTTCCCATCTAGCTCCCTACTGGTGGCCTGGGAAAGCAGCAGAGGATGGCCCAAAGCCTTGGGACCCTGCACCTGTGCAGGAGACCTGGAAGAGGCCCCTGGCTTCGGATTGGCTCAGTTCCAGCCATTGCAGCCACTTGGGGAGTGAACCATTGGATGGAAAATCTCTCTCTGCCTCTCTTCCTCTCTGACTTTCCAATAGAAATAAATAAATCTTTTAAAAAATATAAAGAATGAAAATAAAATCAATCCTGGAGAGCAATAAGAAGTCTCACTCCTTGAGTCATCACATTATAATCTTCAAATATCTATTTAGCCAAAAATGCTAAAGTATTTTATCAAGGTTAAAAAAAAAAAACCCTTTAATAGCTATCCTATCCTCTGATAATATAAAAAAGAAAAATACAGGTAACAGGTTCTTTAACATTCTGAGAGGTTATTTGAATAACTTAATGAATGCTGGTCTCTCCAATCTTGTTGAATAGTGTGTGGCTGGGTGCAAAGAAACACGGAAGAGGCTGGGCCCAGTGCTATAGCCTAGTGGCTTAAGTTCTCGTCTTGCACATGCCAGGATCCCAAAAAGGTGCAGGTTCATGTCCCAGCTACTCTGCTTCCCATCCAGCTCCCTGCTTATGGCCTAGGAAGGCAGTTGAGGATGGCTCAAAGCCCTGGGACCCTGTACCCGCATGGGAGACCTGGAGGAGGCTCTAGGCTGCTGGCTTTGGAGTAGCGCAGCTCCAGCCATTGCGGCCACCAACAACTAGATGATCTTCCTCTCTGTCTCTCCTTTCTGTATATCTGACTTTCCAATTAAAAATTAAAAAAACAGTAATAATAAATCTTAAAAAAAAAAAATGAAACAAGGAAGAAGCTGTCACAGACCCCTCCAGCAAGCAGACTGGGAGCCTCTTCTCTAGATATCTGTGAGGGACCCCCAAGAGCCCACCCAGGTGGCCCTCAAGACAGTTCCTCTTCGGGTCAAACTACCATGTGCAGTCACATGCCAGCTTTCCAGTCCAGCTGGATAGATCAGCAAGGACACTTTTTGACCGGAGTTTGATTCATCATACTCTGATATTCAAAAGTATCGATTGCCTCTGACACCAGTCCAGGGTCTGCACTGTAACAGCCGTGTGGTGAGCCTGTTTAATAGAACACACAACCTCAGCCATCAACTGCCGAGAGAGAGAAAGCTGAAGCTAAACTGACATGAAGACAGGCAGTCATGTCAGCCTTGAAGCCCCATGACACGATTGCCCTGTTAGACTTGCTAATCGGTTTTTCAAAGTCAAATATATTTTTAAGACAATGTAGGCAAAAAGAAATGGACCACGGGGAGGTAAAGGACCGTGTCCACAGCTGAGGAGGGATGCCACGGCAGACCAGCAGTCATCACCTTAGATCCTAACAAATGTTCGGTTTTTGACCTAACACTGAATGTACTTTTGTCTTAAGTGACACCGTTGCTTGAGTCATTTTATCATTTTGGGACATCCCACCCTTTGCGCTTGCCCAGAGTCCACGAGCTCACGTCGGAGCATTCTGCGGATGCTTTGGTCTCTGCGGTAGCTTTGCCTTCAGTAAGGAAAGGGGTAGCAGACCAAGCACTGTGAACATCTCTCTTTAGGATAATAAGCATGTCATAATTTTATTTTTAAAAATACTAATAAAGTAATGAGTGTTCAGTCTGTTTAACAACTGTACTCTTACAAGTGAAGTAAAGTGGTCTCAAAGTCGGTCCTGAGAGTCAACACGTGCTCTGCTAGGAATTGGATTCCCCTCGGCTCAGGACTTTCTCGATGCTTCGATTTCATCCCATATTGCAGCTTCAATTTTTGAAGTATCATATTCCCTCATCATATCAAACTCGAGCCACGGCTGACTCCACTTCTGAGCCGCTTGCATCTGTTCTTCTGTTAAACAAAGATCAAATCTGATTCCTTTAATATTAAAATATGGACGTTCCCAGCGTTTGGACCAGGGCTTGGGCTTCATTTTCACTTGCAGCTACAAAAGATACAAAAAAATTTAAAAACAGGATAATTAGACTAATACATATAAGCAAAACTCCCCTTTAAAGTTTTCATCAAGAGAGATAACTAGGTTAATATAAATCTTATTTTATACTTGAAATCCAAGTCCCAATTGTACACTCAATACCTTATTAACAGGAACTTCTTTACTAGGCTCTCGTGTTACTGGCTTCATATTCATATCAAAAGTGCTGTATTCAGGGAGGGCATCTCGCAAGTACAGCAAGCTCTCATCCAGCCGTTTCTCTAATCTCACCACTTGGATCTCCTGGATTCGAGGATTATAAAGTTCAAAGCAAATCTCAACACCTGAAAAGAAAACATACTCCTAAAAAACTAACCCAGATGCTATACATGCCACGCCTGCCAGTTAAAACAATCCCATCAAGGAACTAGCTCAAACTTTGCACATAGGAAATATGACGTAAGTTTATGATTTAAGATAAAGAATATTAATGGAAACTAAAATCCACTGAAATATAAGTGAGTAAATCTGAATTAGAATGGTAACTCAAAACAAAGATGTTCCTTTTGTTTGTTGAGTCACATATTCTTATCAATTTTGATGATACACTTTGAGAATATCTGAATAAACCCTTCACTGTCATGTTCCTGTTTATTTCTGAATTAACCTGAATAAAAACTAATGTTCCACACTGAGTAACAGGATTAATGATGCAAACAGAGTCAATACAATTTTGTTTGTCAGAAGCCACTGTTTACCAATAGCCTAGAGCCCTTACATGACGGCAGGGGCAGCTTTGAGCACATCCAGGTGCTGCTACAAGGTTCCAGTCTAATTTATATCATCTTATTCCCAACACCTAAGAGCAAGGGCATATTATGAGGCTTTTCTGGAGTAAACTCAAGAGAAATAGAAACACTATTATGTTTGGCCAAATTGGAATCTAGTGTACAATGCCAGGACACCAATCTGTTATTTTACTATTCACCTATTCTGTTCCAGGTACTGCTCTAGGAAAGGTACCTACAAGAAAACCAATAGAAAAGAGCTTTCTCTTCTCAAAGCGTAAATTCTATTGGATGACAAACAGTAAGTAAACAAATCAGTAAGTCCATTTTATATAGTGAAGATAATACAGGATTATGGCACTGGGCAACTAGGCCACTGCATGAGGCAACTACAGAAGGTGACATCTGAACTGACACTATAAAGAAACAAGAATGCTCCAAGCACAAGAATAGCAAATGGGAGAGCCTTGGGCTGTTAACACTGGGCTAGAGCCAAGAAACATCACGTGGGCCAGGTCCCATGGTTTAGATGTGTCCCAACCAAAACTCATCTGAAATTCAATATCCAATATGGTGAGATTAGAAAGTGGGGAAGCACCTTGTAAAAAGGTTAAAGGGAACTAGCGTGGGTTCTCCTGTGCCCTTCCTTCTTGGAGCAGGGCAGTGCCCTCACCAGACACAAACTTGCTCCAAGTCACTGGAGTCCCTGCTGCTGAAGTCTGCTTTTAAGGACTATTGTTCCGCTCCCTCAGGGCAGTGAGCTAAGCTACCGCCTGCAATGCTGGCAATTTGATCTTCAACTTTCTAGTTTCTAGTTCCTGTCTGGGCACTCTTACATGAAGAGCACAGGTGGGCTAAACCAGTACAAGTATTAGGAGCAGATGATGACCATGGTGGGAGCAGAAGTGAAAACTGGGACAACTGGGTGACTGATTGTATGAAAGAGAATAAAAATCTCATCCAGGTTCTAGATATAAATAAATAGGAAAGAGGCACCAAAACTGTTTATGGAAACAGAAAAAACTGTGAGAGGAGAAAAAAGAAATGAGAGCTATGTTTTTACTTGTTTCATGCTTATAATACGTCCAAATGGAAATTGTGAATGGTAGTTGTATGTACAAATCTGAAACTCGAAAAGGGCCAGCCCTGGAGACAGCCATTTGGAAACCAGCATCATATCGATGGCACTTAAAGCCACTCAGCTGGAAGGCACCACTAAAATGGAGTCTGGCAGGAGAAGGTGAAGGCAGACCTCAAGAGTGAAATGCAGTATAGAGAACGGTGACACGGTCACTTTATGAGTAGTCTGGACTCAGTACTGCACATTCAGTGTCTCACAGGTGATTAAACCCTGGGAGATAGAAACTACGGTATCTTAACTCTGAAGATGAAGAAATCACACCTAGATTGATCAGCTCAGCACTCTGCTTACTTTTACTCACAAGCCTTCTCCAAGTAACAGAACCTGACTGGAAGCATCAATTTCAGTGTTCAATCAAGTCCTGCTGAGTTCCCAGGTGCACAGCACCAGACTGCTAAGAATAAGTAAGACAGCAAATGCTCTCACGTTTTCAATTTCTTTGAAGATAATAACACTTCACTGTTGGGAATCAGGAAGCATATAATCTTAAATACAAAAACATTACTACTCCTCTCATTGTAATTCATAACCTTCCTGGAGTCTTATAACTTCTTCCTCTGCCTGAAGAGGCACAGCATGCAGATATGACTTTGCCTTTTTAAAATGCCCCTGAGTCTTCCTAACAGTGATAACTACAGCAGCTACCTTATGTGATGATACAAAGCAGTGTCAAAACACATACTAAGAGAGAACTACTTGTGGATTTCAAAATACTTTTCTGCCAAAATAAGCTTATCTTTTAACTCCATTTTTCCACAAACATTTGAAGTAGCTTCATATAAGGCAAAATGGAGACCCACATTTTAGGAGCAAGTAAATCATAAAGCCATCAGTTATGTTTGCCTTAATATCCACACATATTATCTGACAGCTTTAAAGTCATTGCTGTCCCTGCTGCTGAAGTCTACTTTTAAGGACTGTTGTTCCTCTCCCTTAGGGCAGTGAGCTAAGCTACCGCCTGCAATGCTGGTATGTCACGACATTGGTTTGAGTCGTGAATGATCCAGCTAATGTGCCTGGGAAAGCAATGGAAGATGGCCCAAGTGCTTGGATGCCTGAACCAACGTAGGACTCTCAGATGGAGTTCAAAGCTCCTGTCATTACAGCCTGGCCCAGCCTCAGCTGCTGCATCTATTTGGGAAGTAAACCGCAGATGGAAGACTTCTCTGTTTGTGTATGTGTCTCCCTTGCTCTGAAAGGCAGAGTCACACAGAGGGAAATAAAGCGAGAAGTCACTTTCACTCCCCAAATGGCCACAACAGGCAAATCTTGGGTCTCCCACATGGGTGGCAGCAGCCCAAGTACTTGACCTCTACCTTCCACTGCCTTCCCAGGCTCGGGGGTTAGAAGCAAAGTAGTCAGGCCCAAACCATCACTATGATATGGGATGCAGCCACACAAGTAGTACCTTAACATACTATACCATAAACACGGGTCCTAGGTTATTATTTCCATCATAAAAGAAGACAAAGACCACCAATGGTGTCTCTGCAGTATCCCAATTCTAAAACTATGAGATTATCCCAGAATGCAGAAACAAAAAGCAATCCTGAGATGACATTTCCCAGACAGTCAAATTGAAAAAGGCAGCCTACCTTGTCCTTCAATAGTATTCCTAAGGATGAAAGTTGCTCCAAATCCTTTTCCTGATCTCTGGATACAAATCCCCAGGAACTGGCTGGTTTTTCCCTTGGCATATGGGTCAGCAGTGGTGACACGAAGTATGCTTCCTACAAATTCAGGAGAAGTGAACTTCCATGTAAGACAAATAAATAAACAGCATTCTAGGTAACTAAACCTCATAAATAGTTTAATACGATACTAGGACTAAGTACCTCTCCTGGGAAAAACCCAAATAGGTAAAAACAATATTTTCTATGAAAAAAAAAAAAAACCTCTCAAAACCAATAAGCATCTAGTTTTTACTGACCAACATAGAACTCTGGAATGTGAAGTACTTTTCTCCTTTCTAGCATATCTTTTCTTTCTAGCTGGAATTTCAGAGGATTTGTTCTTCCCCTTGGAGGAATGAATTCAGGACTCAAGAACCTATAGGGAAAAAGAAACACAAAAAACATACTGAGCCATACCTGTTATAAATTGTGTTGGAGAGCCAGCACGGTAGTTGAACTGGCTAATCCTCAGTCTGCAAATGCCAATTCATGACCCAGCTGCTCTACTTCCAACCCATCTCCCTGCAGTGGCCTGGAGAAGCAGCAGAAGATGACCCAAAGCATTAGGACCCTGTATACATGTGGGAGACCCAGAGGAAGCTCCTGCCTCCTGGCTTCAGATCAGCTCAGCTCTAGCCTTCGCAGCCATTTGGGGAGTGAATCAGCAAATAAAAATATTTCTCTCTGTGTCTCCTTTTCTATGAAAAAAAAATTTTTTAATCTGACTTTCAAATAAAAACAAATAAACCGTAAAAAAAAAGACTTAGCAAGTTATGTGGGGAAATGCATAAATACACAGCTCATCAACTGCCTTAAGAACGTTCTTCCTGATTTTAAACTTCTGTATTACAGTGACCATTCCTGCCTCTATCACCTCCCTCTCAGGAAATAAATTACCAGCTGAGCTGCACTTCTGTCCACGCTGCCAACTTCCTCCCGCTAACCACCAATCCTGTTCTGCTGACTATACTCATGAACTACCCAGATATTTCTTCGTTTTCCTCAATTTTCTACTTTGAAAATTTCCAAACCCAGCAGAAAGTTGAAATACTAATACAACACCCACATTTCCTCACCAGCCTTTATCACCTGCTAAAATTTCGCTGTATTCGCTTTCCCTGTAGTTTTTTGCCTACGCCATTTCAAAATGTCAACTATCAATGCACTGCATTCCTCAGTAACTCGGAAAGCTCATGCTAAAAACAGAGTCCTTCACAATATAACAACAAAAAAACAAAAACAAGGTCACTTCAAAAACATTATCTCACATGTAGTTCAGATGTGTCCCATCGTCCCAGACATCTTTTACCCAAAGTCTAAACCTTCCCACATTCTAACTAGTTGGCAGTCTCTTAAACTAGTAATTATTCCCCAGCTGTGTGTTTGATGGCATTGATTTGTTAACAGTTAAGGTCTTATTATCTCACAGACCATCCCTGAAGAGGAAACCTCTGGAGCAGGACAACGGCTCCGACCCAGGGAATTCCTACTGGAAGGTCAAGACCGGCTTGGGACTTCGGCGTTCAGAACCCCGTGTGCCGGGGGACCCAGCTCGCGCCAGGACCCACCTCAGCCTGCTCCAGGACCCCTAACTCGCGCCAGGACCCACCTCAGCATGCCCCAGGACCCCCAGCCCGCAGCCCCCAGGGCCGGCAGCTCCACAGCCGACGCGCCCACGTGGAGTGCCCGAGCACCTGTCGTGCGTCCAGGGCCTGGCCTCACCTCCTGTCCTGGTCCGGGACTCGACGCTTGTCCACGATGACGGGCTTCGGCGGCGGCTGGAACTTTGGAGGCTCGGAAGGCCCCGTGCTCCGCTGCCGGCCCACGTCCGTGGGGAGCCCTGAGGAAACGGAAGACTGAGATTGGGATGCTAGGGCGGCCCCGAGGTCGGCAGGGCGCCGCGACTTCCCCAACCCGCGGCTCCAGGGGCGGTGGAGGCCGGGGCCCACCCTGATCTGGGGGCGCGCCTCTCCCCAGCTCGCCAGCCTCGCTCCACTTACAGCAGGCGATAGAGGTCGGAGCCGGGAGCAACGCCCTGGCGGCGCGGAAGCTCCGGGTTAGGCCCATGGAGGGCCCGTAGAGCCCTGCAAGGCCGGCCGCCATGCCTGCGGGGCCCGGTGAGGACTACAACTCCCAGAGAGCAGCGCGATAAGGTCTGGCCCATCTCGGATGGTGGCTGTTACGGGACAAACTGCACAAGTCTTTTTTTTTCTCTGTCCCTTTTTCTTTAGTTCTTCCTACTGTTTTCCTTAGAACTTCTTAGGAAGAATACAGTTTACATTCCTCCACAAGGACATTTTCCCAGACAAGAAAGCTGTGTTCTTCCTTCTGATACCTTCACACTTTTTAGGTAAACTTTTCGTAGACTGTCATTCCTGTTAGGTGTCTTCCGTTGGCAGCCCTTATCTTATTTGCAGTATTTCATGACTTGTGTTTTTATTGGACTAATATTTAACTCTGCCATTATAAACTGCATGAGGAAAGGGCTACCGGCGTTTTCTCAGTGCTGTGTCCTGGCACCTAGCACCCATCTGGCCCTCCCTTGCTCTGCTGGGTTCACAGAAAGGAACATTAATAGCTGCCACAAAGTCCCGGGGCGCACAGGCACTGTCCTTTTACAAACTGAGTCTCGGCAGGGCAACTTGGAGTGGCAACAGGCAGAAGAGGGCAAGCTGGAAGAGAGAAGAAAAGCAATAAACTGCGGGTGAACCCTGCCGTCCACCACAGACGGGATGCGTATTCGCCTCGTTTTTCTACACAGTACAGAGCTGCAAGCAGTGCAGGGCACGGAGGAGTGGCAGCAGAACCCTCCAGGGGCGCAGGGAGCTGCCGGGCGCTGCCCCGTCCGCCGCTGACCGGCAGAGAAAGGGCGTCCAGCCAGTACCGCCCGCACGCGGTCTCGCTCCTAGCGGAATGGAAGAGTTGTCAGCCTTCTGGAAGGCTTTACCTCAGGGCTCCGGCCGAGCGCCACTGCGGGCGCGTTCGGCTGCCCTCTGGTGGACACCGCGGCACCCTGCACGGCTGGTCCTTCCAGGTCTCTTCAATGAATGCTTGGCTCCCCGGGAGAAAAACTTGACAAGAAACCTTACAACCTTCCAGCTTAACAATAAGGTCTTTGTGTTTGTTTTGCTTGGTAACCGTGTTCTGACTCAACTGCAAAAAATGTTCTCACGTAAGCCTTCTCCTGACAGGATGAGACAGTGGAGTTTGCAGGAAAGCCACGCTCGTGGGAGGTCACGCCTCATCAACCCTATTTTGCTCCGCAAAATCACAGGACATTGCATGCCCGCTGGGAACTGGTGGGCAAGTCGTTGACCTTGAGGAAGCCCTCAGAGCGATAATCGTCCAGACAGACTCGCCGCTGTGGGCTGCTGTCACACAGGGGGAGGCAGCTTTGCCCGGACTGAGATAACTGGGCAAGTCTCCCGAAAGAATGAAGAACTGAGCTGCAGCTTGGAGATACAGCAAGCATCCCAGCCTCCTCTCCCACCGACAGACACATGGACAGAAGGTTCCAGTTAGGAGACCCTGGACGAACAGAACAGCGTGCCACACCTCTGACAGCTCTGGAGTCTCTTATGTCAGACAAGAAGTTTTCCAGAAAGCTCAAGCTTGCTGTTTCCAGCCGTGTACATCTGTTTGAAAGCAGTGTAGACAGTGGCCCGCAAAGATCCATCACCCTTCACGGGCTTCCCTTACAGTGTGCCTTCGCCTTGGCTCCCCATCCCAGGGCAAGCCACACGCCCTGGCCACCTTCCTCGTGGATGCTCCTAACTATTCCTGCTTATTTTCATAGGACTTAGAGCAAGTGAGAGAGAGAGAAGAGATTTTTTTCCCAGTGGTTTATTTTTTGTTGGCCTCCTCCACTTAACCGGGAGTACTTGTCCCGCAGAGCGGAGGCCAGTCCAGGGAGGTGACTCAAGGCTTGGTGGTGACCTCAGCGAGTGGTGGCAGAGCTGCGCTCTCGGACACCTGCCGGGGAATCAGGCGTGGCAGCCCGAGTGGGTGTTAAGGGTCGCAGTGACCGGCGGGGCGTAAGGGTAAGGAGGAAAGTTGTGGAAGTTTCCGCGAGCGGCCGAGGCCGAGGCGGCGGCGCGGGTGTCAGCCCCGCCCGAGGTCCTGCCCGGCCGGATGGGACGCAGCGGACAGTGCACGCAGCAGGACGGGACGCCAGGTAGGACTGCAGCGACCTAGTGCCCTGGTGTTTGTTCACTGGTTCACGTAATTACCCTGACCGCTTCGGAAGTGTGTGGAGACACTGGGCACAGATTTTGCCAACTGGGTAGCTAAGACGGAAGCCTTGGTCTTCGCCCTTGCTCTCCTCCCGCCCAGCCCGGGCATGCTTTCCTTATGTGTTTGTAAGGACATGAGTCTGTGGGTCCTTCCTCTCCACCTCCACCTTCCGCAGCGAAGTGGGGAGCTGTCAGCTACAGCGCCCTGAGGAGTGATACACACACACACACACACACCTCTATCTTGGGGAGTAAAGCTTAGGGTCCAAAGTTTGGAGAAGGGGAAGCTGAAGTTTCTGGATCTGAGAGATGAGCAGCTTTAGCTGGCCCTGATGTGTGAGGTGGGGGGCGGGGAAGGCACAGCGTGGGCACACTGGAGCCCGTGGCCAGGTCCACGCAGCAGGATGGCACTCCCGGGCGGGGGGGTGCCTTCCAGGGAGAGTCACGGCAGCCCCAGCAGACTCCGGATATACGAGGGAATTCTCTCCACTGGAAGACTGGATGTTGCTAAGAGCTCAGGAACACTAAGTTGAGAAATATTTTTCTTATTTGAAAGGAAATATTCATACATGGAATGACTTAGGCACCCAGTTTCTGTATTTCGTAAACCAAAATTCTTTTACATATTTTTAATTTGAAAGAGTTACATAGTGGAGAGACAGAGAAATTTCCCGTCTACTGGGTTTACTTCTCAGTTGGCTGCAGTGGCTGGAGCTGAGCTGATCTAAAGCCAGGAGCCAGGAGCCTCTGCCGGGTCTCCCACATGTGTACCGGGTCCCAAGGCTTTGGGCCGTCCTCCACTGCTTTCCCAGTGGATCAGCTGGGACATGAATGGACACCCCATGGGATGCTGGTGCTGCAGGCAGAGGCTCAACCTACTATACCACAGCGCCAATGTCACCAGGGAAATCGGTGAAGGACAAGAATAATTTGCTAAGAAGATCATTTGGTCTTTTAATTGACACATGATAATTGTACTTATTTGGGGAGGAGACAGCATAATAATTCCAAACATGTATACAATGTGTACTGAACAAATCTGGGTAATCAACATTTTTATATCCTTCAAAATTTTCATTTCTTTGTGTTGGTCAATCTGAACTCCTTTCTCCTAGGTATGTATGTATGTATGTATGTATGTATTTATTTTTATTGGAAAGGCAGATTTACAGAGAGGAGAAAGAGAAAGATCCATCTGCTGGTTCACTCCCCAAATGGCTAAAACAGCTGAAGCCGAACCTATCTGAAGCCAGGAGCAAGGAGCCTCTTCTGGGTTTCCCACGCAGGTGCAGGGTCCCAAGGCTTTGAGCCATCCTTGATTGCTTTTTCCAGTCCACAAGCAGGGAGCTGGATGGGAAGTGGGGCTGCCAGGATGTAAACTGGGGCTCATATAGGATCCCGGCGTGTGCAAGGTGAGGATTTAGCCAGTGAGCCATCATGCCAGGCCCTCCTGGTATTTTATAAAATGTATAGTTGGAACTGCAGTCACACTGCCATGCTGTAGAACAGTAGAGCTCATTCCTCCCGCGCAAGTGTATTTTGTTGCCTATTATTCATTCTGCCGCTCTGTCCCCTCCCCTCTGCCCTTCCGAATCCTAGTACTCACCATTCTACTATACTTCTGTGACATCAGCAGAAAGGATCTGTTCTCATTGCTTAAAAACACAGATTGGTTTGATATCATAAAAACACCTGAAGGAGATGCCATGTAATTTGACCAGACTTAAAAGCAAGTACATCAGCATGCTTTTTCATGGGCACTGGTAGAAGGCCCAAGGCTCCTGGCTCAGCGGTGAAGGGCGTTACGGCTCGTGACACAGCCTGTCCCACGTGGAGGAGAGCACAGCTGTAGGGCTCCCAGCCAGGTTTCCATCACAGCGGGGCACCACTGGGCCCAGAGGACACATGGCTTTCCCACGAACCATAAGCAAACCAGTGCTTTCTACTAAATGACACAACTTCTTCCTTCTCAGTTGTTCCCTGCAAACTCTAACCTGCACAGTGGTCTGGGTGGCTGGCGTGTCTGTCACTCTGAGCAAGTCACCACTAAAAAAAAGGGGGTGGGTAGTTGTTTAGAATCAGGATTGTACAATATAGAAACTGGCACATCACCTCAGAATTCCTTGTTCTTCAGGGTGTCCTGACCACTCAGCCGAATGCCTACCACTGTGAGTACATTAAAAAAAAGGGGGGGGGTTATTTATCTAATTGAAAAGGCAGATTTATAAACAGAAGAAGAGACATAGAGAATGATCTTCCATCTGCTGGCTCACTCCCCAAATAGCCACAACAGCGAGAACTGGGCTAATCTGAAGCCAGGAGTTTTTTCCGAGTCCCCCACATGGGTACGGAGTCTACTACCATCCCATGCCACAAGCAGGGAGCTGGAAGGGAAGCGGAGCAGCCTGGACATGAACCAGCACCCAAAGCCTGTTGAGCCATGGTATCAACCCCTGTGTGTATACTTTTTTAAAATACCTAAATAAAACTTGGGGCTAAAGCCATGGTGTACAGGCCAAGCCTCTACCTACAGTGCCAGCATCCCATTTTGGCACCCGTCCTAGCAACTCCACTTCTGATCCTGTTCTCTGCACATGGCATGGCAAGGCAGTGGGGTGAAAGGCCCTTGGGCCCCTGCACCCATGTGGAAAACCCAGAAGCTCCTGGCTCCTGGCTTTGGACTGACTCAGCTCAGGCTGTTTTCGCCATTTGGGAGTGAGTACAGGGAGACAGGAAGCTGAAGGGGGTCCAACTGATGGGCCTCCCTCAACATCTGGCCAGCAGCCAAGTAGGTGCCTCTGATCAAGACACGCTGCAGAGGACTCTGTGAAGAATGTCTGCTTGTTTCCAATTTGCAGAAATAACATGAATTTAGTAGTG